ACTTCGTAACCTTTACAAGTAGATATTATTTTTATTAAACTACTATACTATAACGGCGCTGATCTCGACGTCGAATACTGATTTTATAACAAATAAATAGCGCTGTTGGTTGTTTCTCAGTACGCATACTTGCTTACTCAAATTTTTAATTCGGTTTAATACTCTACGATTCTGTTATATCGCACAAAAGATAAATCGTAAGATTCTAATAAAATTGATGATATTATGTGAAGCGTTATTGTATAACGCCCGACTGTAAAAAGGTCAACGACCTGACTACTACACTCTTCTAATATTCATACAGTATGCAAAATACGAATAGACATCGAATAAAAATCTCGATCGGATTGTGTTTGGCAAGCTCAAGATGCAGGTTAATAATAGTCGCGTGTACACCGCCCGGCGAGTGACGTCACGTGCACGGAAACAACACCTCTGATTCATTAAGACTACAGCCGGCACTTTGTTTTAGAAAATATGCAGCGCTAGATTTTATTTTCTAAATGGGAGATTTGAGTAATCGCGATACGGGCTACCTTTATTACGATAAGACAAGCAACTGTGTTAGCCGGAACTTGTGGAGAAGAGTTTTTTAGTGAAGGCTTACCCAGCCAAGGCATATTTATCTTAACATCCTCAAAAAAGGACAAATCCATATACGCAAGGTAGTCTAAAAGAAAGTGCATTGAATCCTGTTTTTATGATACATAAAAAACTTACACAGTAGGTATATAAAAATATTTATATATTATAGATATGTATAAAGGTTAGATAGAAAGGAACACTAGGGAAACTATAGACGATGTCTCTATTTGTATGACTTTACTTTACCTATCGTGAAAAGAATACAGATTCTCCTCCGCAAAAAAAAAACAAGTCGGTTAATTTATTCAGTAAGATCTACATATTAACCAACTTTATCACCAATTGAATAACTCGCTACATTTCATTAGTATAATATCAACATTTAAGTATTTTTTTCTTAATAAATAGAATAACTTGGTGGCAATACGCATACAACGAAATGTGCAACAAAAACGCTTTGAGTGCTTTAAATTTCATGAAGTAAATAGTAAGAACAATATTCGTTAGTTAATAACATGATGCATAGAATAAGGAGCGCGCGGAGCTGATTATTATGGTAATTTTTGTGGGATTCCTTTATCCAGCGAGTGAAAATATCGTAAGATTCTCAATTATCCACCAGTAATTAAACTCTTTATACATAACTAGTTTTCCGCCAGTGGTCCTGTGTTATACATAACATAAAATACATACTATTAACCTTTTCACCTGTATCGTATAAGAAAACAGCATTAAAACAGACAGCGGGAAGCTACTTTGTTTTATACTATGTAGGTAGGTATATGGCATTGACAACCAAACTTCTTAAGTAACATGTGTCCCGTGGCGATTTATTAGATCTGAACTTAGAATAACCCCATACTCCGTGGTAAAGTAGGGAGTTATGATAAATACAGTGAACGTATGATGAACGCATAATATGACGTTCAATCCGTAATGTTTCTAAGACGCTTTATTACATAAACAAATTTTTAATAGCCTGACTAATATTATTTTAACATGAATAGCCGAGAAATTTCGTTTCTATTATTTCATTATAGTTTGAGTCTTTTTATTGAATAATTTAATTAGATAAGAGATTAATGTCAAAAATCGTCGTAGTTAATTATATTTGTAAATTCTTTTTGCTTCTATGTTGTTCTTGATGTCATTTTCGTAATACTTATTATTAATATTACCTTTTTTACTATTGAATATATTAGAAATACGTAACATACTATTATAATTATTTTGTCTTAAAACATCCATTCTACGTATAGAGGAGGCGTTAGAAATATTATGACTATTAATTCAAAATTTGAGAACTGCACTGTATCAGTAAATATCGCCTGTGATATCTCAAAGATTAATGCACCATTTTTTGGTCTTATTTTACCCATCGTACCTACTGATCGTCGTCCGTATTTTACATAGTAACTTCACTCCAGCACAGTTATTTAATGTCAGTCTTTTACTAAGAATTCCTTAACTAAATTGTCAGAGTAGATAAAAACAATCAAACTAAGCAAAACACTGGATTTTGATGAAATCCAAAAGGATTACGCAAATATGCAAATAAATATATCGTCAGTTGGTTATTATTGAATAATCAATGAATTCTGACCAAGCCAATCTTTCCCATTTTATAAACGCGTAAAAGAAACTACAATAAAGATGTGAAGTTTATTCTATACAATAATACGATGCTTCATTAAATTTCAAAGTAAATAGTAAACGATATCTTAAATCATATAGTAAACGAGCAAAAGCTTTTAAAGACAAACTACTAGTAGAGGTATACAGATCTAACATTACGTTTAATTAAGGCTATTGAAAATCACCAACAAAGTGACGATTTATCATAATATTGTTGAATAGATGTCAATATATTTTTTCTCTCCATAGGAACTGGTGAAGTATTCAAAACGCCTTGGCGACGACTGCACAGACCTTCAAAAGGCGTTGGATCTTTTCCTCTCTGTGCCAAATCGGTCCACTGACAACAAATTCATCGCGAGCATCGAAGGCTACCGAGGGAACATCTACAAGCTAGGCAGATTGCTAACCCACGACTGGTTCACCGTCACTGACGAAGAAGGGAAAGGAAAAGAGAGATATCTCTTCCTCTTCAAGGCCCGGATTCTCATCTGTAAAGTCAAGCGAGTCGGCGAAGACCGATCCGTGTTTGTGCTGAAAGATATCGTTAAGGTAAGACTTTTGATTTTATCATTCACGCATTTAAAAGTTTACGCTAAAGTGCTTTTGGAAATGTTTGGTAAATTTTTATATTTCAAACGGTCTAAAAAAACACATCTATAATATAAAATCAATAAAACGAGTTACAAAAAAGTCATAAAAACTTAAAAAAGGTTGAACAGTACCCATAATAAATGCTACATTTAAGATTATACAATAAAGAAGTAATCTTGACTTTCTACGACAAAAATAGCACGAATCAAGCGTAATATTACACATTAAACTTGGAATATGTCCAAATTGCGCTCAGTTTACTTCAGGCGGTATTTGTTTCGCAGCTCCCGGAGGTCGAGGCCAAGGACCGTCCTGGCGATCCATTCAGATTTGAGCTACATCAGAAAAATCCACCCCTATCTATTACCCTCACTGCTCACAAAGAGTCTGTGAAAACCAATTGGCTCGCCGAAATCAAATTAAACGCCAGCGACGTCGGTAAGTATAATGAACGAAATAATGCCCGGAATGGTAAAACTTTTCTGTCTTATTATAAAACTAAGACTAACTTTAGTACCAGTTTTAAAACATTTACCATTACCTTACCAAAAACACATCACAATTTGATGTTTTTTCGTTTTCATTGTCATTTGCTTTGGGAGGCCAATGTCTAACCTAAGTATTAAGTTTAGTTATTCTTTTAAAGTAAGACTGTTTATATCATAATGTTTTTACCAATGGTATGAGTTATTACGCCAAGCAGCGAATGACAATCGATAATTATACTTGTTTTTATGTTGTCATAAGAAGATTATTCCAAGTATTTTATCTATACATAGTATAAAACGAAGTCGTTCCACTGTCTATACGCTGTAATCTACTAATTTTCAACAACAGATATAGTGAAAGACAAGAGGAAGGTTTATATGTATAATACACTAATATAATGTTTTGAATTATTTCTGATATTATTATCTTTTCTGGCAGTTGCTTTAGCTGAGCACGCTGCTGACGACCTTCAGGTAGTCTCCCCACAACGCGTCCCATCTCCCGCACCACAGGAAGACAAGAAGAAAAAAAGAGAGCACGAAGTTGAACAAGAAATCCAAGAAAAACGATCACGAGTTGAGGAAACTCAACTTGCGCAAGTTTCTAAGAAAGAAGAAGTACAACATTCAACTACTAAAAGAAAAGCTTCCATTGAAACTGAAGTAGCGACTAAAATATCAAAATCAGAAGTCACAGAAGTTTCTTCTTTCAGTGAAACTCAAGCATCAGCTGTTTTCAATAGTGTTAAAAGTGAAGCAACATCGAATATAGAATCAAAGACATCTGTAACCGTTGAAAGCTCGAAAGTTTCTGAAAGTACACAGTCTGCATCAGAATCCACTCAGCAGACAGTTATAGCTGCAGCTTCAATCGATATAAAAAAAGCTGTTAAAGAAAACAAATCGTCTGCTCAAAACAGTTCAGTATCAGAGGTTAAGGAGGCTCAAGAAGTAACTGGGCTAAAATCAAATAATCTAGAATCAAAGTCATCTGTGACAGTTCAAAGTTCAGCTGAGAGTAGACAGTCCATTTCACAACCCTCTCTCCAGACTATTACAGCTACAGATTCTTTTGATAAAAAACAAACTTCAACAACAAAAGTAGCAGAAGAAAAATTGAAAGAAACCAAACAATCTACTGAAAGCTCTTCAGCGATTGGGAAAGAGTCACTTTCGAATGTTGACAATAAAGCTCAACAAGCAACTGAGCTAAAATCTAATACATCATCCGTTGAGCAGAACGCTCAAACGTCAACAGTTGAACGAAAATCTTCAATTGAAACTATTTACCAACAATCTTCATCAGTTAAACAAACTGACGATACTACTCAACAACTTGCTACTGAATCGAAATCAACAGTACAAGAGACCGCAAAGCAAGATACTTTCCAACAAACTCAAGTCGCTGCGGCGGCTGCTGTAGAAAAAAAAGTTCAAGAAACACTTGAAAAGTCCATTGATATTCAAAAACATAGTACACAAGAAACATTTGAAGCAACTACTAAGTCGCTAAACGTAACCGAAACATTAGATTCTCATAAAACTGAACAGCAAAGTTCTGTAGCTGCATCGTCAGAGGGTGTCGTTCAATCTAGGCTAGAAGCAGAAAAAGCCGTCAGCTCAGCTGGCGCTGTTTCTGGAACAAGTGTCATCACAAGTAGTCAAACTGTAACCACCGAGCAGAACGTCGACGAAGAGATGTCGAGGTATAGTCGCAGTTCGCGACTCTCTGGAGGTATATTTTACATAATTTATACAATTTTCATATTTTTACAATTTTATGACATTTACCATAGTACATATTTTTATTTCACAGAATACTCCAGTAGTAGTCGAAAGTTATCAAGTTATGAGTCATCATCATCGGCTTATGATAGTTCTGGAATATCTTCTTATTCACGGCGTGAAAGCGGTTCTTGTGTAGAAAGTGGTTCTCGTGTAGAAAGTGGTAAATACGAAATAGGAGGCACTGAAGGCAGTGCCCTTTCACGCATCGAATCCAAATACTCTAGTGCTAGAACTGGGATTGAGTCTAGTAATGATTCCAGCTATGACACTGCTAGCAAACTCGATAGTCTTGCATCGAAATACGGCATTGAGTCCAATTACGAAGCTTCGAGTAAAATTGATAGCATCGCATCCAAATATGGCATCGATTCTATCAACAGTGGAACTAAGATAGAAGGGCGTACTTCCAAGTACAGCCTGGAAACTAGCATTGATGGCGATAAAATAGAAGGCGTTTCGTCTAAGGCGGAGTCTCGATATGAAAGCGTCAAGAATGGCGGTCGTTCCTCAGAGAGTCAATACTCTAAAACTGCTATTTCTAACGGTTCCGTAAGCACCGGAGAGTATGAATCCGTTAGATCCATATCTAAATCAGAATCTCAAGATGGCAAGCCAGTTTTTACAAAAACTTTGGAAGGCCAAAACATTGAGCGTAAGTACTATAAAAGGGTAATATCTATAAACAATTCTTAGTAGAAGTAGATACACATTAGAGCTTGTATATACGCTTGTAGAGAACTAACCTACACGACACATCAGTCTAACAACATGCTTACATGTAATGTACCCCATATCGAGAGTTCTTACAACTTTAAATTTGTATACAGCATTATCAGTAAATTTAAATAAGTTCTGAAAATAGCTGAAGTAGTACGAACTCTCCCTGTTAATACATTTGAATTCTCAGCGGGTGAAAACGCCGTCTTCGAATGCGCACTACGCGAGTCAATGGATTCTGTGAAGGTGACTTGGCTGAAGGACAACAAACCGCTCGCTGATAGACTAATGGATCGTGTCTCCATATCCACCAAGACTGGTCACCATAAGCTGGAACTTATGCACTGCCGTGAAGATGACTCTGGAGTGTACACTGCGAGGGCAGAAAATGTTAAGGGCAATAGCCATTGCACAGCTCAGTTAGTCGTCCACGAGTGTAAGTTACGCTTTTTTTTCAAAATAATTTGAGCGAAATCAGCTCCAATATTTCAAAAGTATACTTATATTGTGCTCAATTGGTATTTTAAATCATGTCTGCATGCACACGCGGCGTCATCTATTAAAACATCAGTAAAGCGATATAACAACTAGATCCTTTCTTGTCTGATAATCTTCCAGTATTCTAGCACTTAAAGTCGGCACTGTTGTTTAGAAATAATATCAAGTGTTGCATGTGTTTTTAGCCTGTAGAACAAAAGAAAGTGTATCGTGTAGATTTTTGATAGCTCAATGATAAACTATTGTTACTGATAATTTCAGTGACTCCTGAACAAAGGAGAGAAAGAAACGCACTTAACGCGCCTTACTTCTTGGTGGCGTTAAAAGATACAGAAATCATGGAAAACACTTATTTGCGTTTCATGGTGAAAGTCAAAGGCGATCCCAATCCTGATGTGAAATTGTAAGTCTTCGTTTACTACCTGTAATTAAAGAAAGCAAAAATTTAATTTTCAATAGAAAGCATTTCGTTTTTCCTTTTATGAAAATAAACCATTAAAACAGCTTCCGCGATGGAAAGGAGATCGTGAGTTCGTCAGAAAGCGATCGCGTGTCCATCATCAGAACACGCGCGGACAAAGGTTGTTACGAGCTGGTGATCGCAGACGTGAACCAGACCGACGCTGGCCTCTATTCCTGCAAGGCTATCAACATCTACGGCGAAGTCAGCTCTGAAGCTAAAGTTACAGTAGTTGGTGAGTACTTTGATATGTATTATACTAAAACCGAACATGGAAAAGGTTAGAACCATATGTAATCCTTCACAGTTCGTACGAAATTCGTTATTAGCAATTTGTCTTCATTTACTACTACTTTCACTATTTTATTTTTAGATGGTCATAAATTTTGTAATTATTGGATTCCAGTTTAATTGAACGATTCGTCATATTGCTAAAATTTATATTGGATTGTTAATGTTAAGTTGTGTGCTGCTATAATAGGGGCATTTACTCATATCCTAGTAGCGTACACATATTCGAAGCCAATATTCCAAAAACAAAGTCCAGGATCAGCTATGAAATAAGACCAAAAGTTAGAAATAGAAAGACGAATGTCGTTCTATCTCTCTTTGCTCACACAGTGTCCATTTTATTTTATAAACATTCATGATTTTATAGTGAATACTGATGTCTATAATTTCTTAAACTGTATTCTGGTTAGTGTTAACCATAAAGTTCTGTAGGTCTCGCTATTTGACTATTAACATGGATAAATTCTGTAGTAAGTATATTGTTTATATTGAACGAAACTGGCTGACTTTAATATGATTTAAAGTGGGCAACTTTATAATGCTTTTGTCTTAGAATCCAACTGCGACATTACTCCAAAAGATAGAATCATTAATTTCATTGTATATTGGTTGACGAACTGACATGTTGCCAGTGAAGTGGCAGTACTAACGAATTTATTAGACTAGGTCAACTTGGACAGTTACTCAGATAACATATACGGCAATATCATTTCAAGAAAAGTCAAAATTGCCTATAAATTATGGATTTCAGCTATACAGAGACTCTCATTGAAATGTTGTTTTCTTTCTATCAGGGACGAAAAAAGGTTTGCCTGAAATATCTAGAAAATAAAGATACTCAAGTTTAATAATTTTGTACTAAAAAAAAACTGAATGTTATTTTCACTTTTTATTACTCAAAATATCTTAAGGGATGACCTTAACAGATAAATGATTAGAATGATTCTAAAATGTATGCTGTCATATAAACTCGCCATGAATGATGAAGAGACGTAACGCGCTATATTTACAAGTGTGCCACATTTTTAACGGCATTTGGACGTTCTCCAGTATTTATGTGTCTAAAAATACGCCCCTGAATTTTGACGAAACCCATTGATTTACTTGTTGTTTTACAATTATTGTGAAAACATTTAGTGCCTAATTACATTATTTATTATGGCTATAATGTTTACACAACACCAATAAGAGTTATGTAATGATTTTACACTACGAAAATTGAGAAGGTTATAACCACGAAAAAGTTATTTTCATTAGAGTTTATCTTTTTGTTCAGTTTTTAGGTCTAAAACACATTAGCATAATGTATGTTTTTTGCCTAATTGATAGGACCCTTGCTATAGTGTAAATATTGGTGAGAATTCGATAAAGTGTACACAATACAGGTGAATGCTGTGTATGTATATGTATGAGATGGTTGTCGTAGTTGGCACTGCCTTCCGAATGGCGGCTAATTACTTTTAAGACAGCATTTAAATTTGCATATAGCAGAAAGTGTATAGTTTATTGAGAAGTGATTTAATTTTAAGTAGGGTTAAGAACATCTTGAAGAGACTAGTATAACCCTTGTAACTGAAAACTAACCACCAAATTAAACTAACATATGCACACGATCAAATTGTGCATGACAAATTATACTTAATCCCAGACTTTTTAAAAGCCAGAAAATAAGTAGGTATAGTTTGAAAGCACTAGACTCTTCTTCCCAAGTTTACTTGCTTTGTCATAATAAAAAAAATATACGAAATTAACTGTTCTACCAAGATGACAAGAATATCTTCTTCGAGTTGGCTCCTGGTGGCGAAGGTCTACTGACTAAGGGTGAAAAGCCGACTTTCTCCTGGAAACGAGATGGGCAACCGTTCGATCCTGAAGAGCGTTTCAAGGTATGTGGATACTTTTTATTAAATAGTTATTTAGAGGATTGCTTTCATAACAGAAGAAAGAATACTGCTTTGACATCATGATTATACGCAATAGTTTGCAGTATTCAAAGAGATTGTGATACCTAAAAAATTTTCATAAAATTTAAAGATTCGTCTTTTGTTGAACAATTCTCTCTGACAGAAAGGGACTTGATGTGAAGACATATGAAGATAGCTATAGATGACTTAAAAACTCAAAGTCGAAATCTTGAATGTATGGTTTTCGTATTTCAAACTTTAATTCCTTAGAATAGGACATTGCACGAAGTTCACAAAATATCGAAGATTTATTTCAAGAGTAGTTAGGTGCAGAGCTTGACTATTACATACATTTATACTCCATTCACTATAACATTAGAAAAAAGAGGGTCATAGAAGCAGCAGTGCAGAACATTTTATTTTCAAGATAAATTTAAAAAATATATATTAACTTTGAACGTTAGGTAGTCTGAAAGAGCTGGGCAATTTTCCATTTTTTATGATACCTCGGGGTTGAGATGAGGCCAGCATTTTATAAATTCATTTTTTAGTCCCAAGCTAACATGGAACTAAAACTGAAACTATCTGTGTGTTTTGATAAATTCTAATTGTAAGTGTAATTAGTTAGATTATTGATGAAGACATTGGAAACTCCCTGAAATGTCAAAGTTTGAGGGTAGGTCTAAACCCCCATTTTAGAGCGTAATATTTGTAAGCCACTCGGGCCTGCACCGGCATCGTCTATATTTACCAAAACTTACCAGCAAAATAAAACAATAACAGCACGGAAAACGGCAAAACAACAAGAAAAGCAGTAGCATTCACAATGGTTGACAATCCCAGATTACGATTTTAACAATTATGAATAAATAATAATCTGACAAAATTAAAAAGCTGTACTACCGAAACATTTGAAGGGGTTAGGCAACGTTTTAAATTTGGTACAGTTATAGTGACATGAGAATCGTGCCGAAACTATCCAACCCTGCTTCTTTAGGTTCTTTACGATGAACACTTTTTGTTGTAATAGTTATTAAATCATTTAAGTTAGTCATATACTCATAAATTTGTTTAATAGATAGCTTAAATGACAACAGTTAGGTATAGCAGCTGGTATTTAAGTGGATATGTATCAAAATAGCCGTCAGTCTTAAAAGTAACATGATTATTGATATTTTGTCACAAAGTATACCATAAAAAGAACCTTATTTAACGTCTGTCTAATGCTATAATGAATGGAGTATAGGGCTCCAGCGCCGGTTCAACTTAGAATCTGAAGATACTAGTATTCCTAGCTACCCATTAGGTTAACTTTAACAGCTTGTGTGAAAATACAAACAGTTTCGTTTGTTACCCTATTGATATTATCATGGGTTGATAAAATGTGTTGCTTTAGAACATTTAGTGGAACGAATTTAAATAATGTCATAATATCTTCATAGTTCAAATAAGGTCTTCGAGTCCAAAAACTAGTTCCTTTTGCATGAACATTTACTTATCTGAATCAGTATATGTATACTCTGTCTCCCGTAAATCTAAGTATTTGTTTTGATAGGTGCTATTGGGCGACGATGAGGACTCGTTGGCTCTAGTGTTTCAGCACGTGAAACCTGAAGATGCCGGCCTATACACCTGCGTCGCCAAGACTAGCACAGGGAATATATCATGTTCTGCTGAACTCACAGTACAAGGTATGCTATGATGTCAGCAAGCACGCACATAAAATGATATTAGTTCTCTAAGAGATACTATTGCGTGTAGAATAGCAATAAGTCTTATTATTAGCAACCATTATAATTAAATTATCTTATTTATAATACTCATTATGCAGTAATATAATGGGGACTATTTTATCTTGTTTGGAAAACTCATTCGTAATTTTCGAGAAAAGTTTGATTGAAATCCTTGAAAAATAAGTGCAGGCTTTGCAACTACTAAACGCTGGCGATTTAATAAAACTTTAGGAGCTGTCAATGAGCTTCACCGAGAGCCGGAGAAGCCGAAGCTAGTGATAGAGCATCGCGAGGCGATCGTATCTGCTGGCGCTTCCGCCATGTTGGAACTGCAGTGCAAGGGTTACCCGAAACCATCCATAGTGTTCAAACACGACGGCAAGATTATAGAAGCTGACACTCGGCACAAGTAAGAGAACTAGTACATTTGCAAATATATTTGTACCATTAGTATCCACTGGCTTTATAATTGAATAACGTTGTTCCCCAATAAACAACGTTCTTCTAGCAATTTGAATCAGAGCAATTATTCTCTTTTTTAGTAGATCTCTTTAGTAAAACTCTTTTGTAGTAGACCAATGGCAAATAGCAACTGTACTTAGGCAGCGTTATTGCAATATTTTCAATAATCAATCCAAGTTATTATGCTGAAAGAATGCCGGATGAAATAATGTTAAAACTTTCCTTCGTAAAAGGGTGCAGAAGCCGAGGTGATGTCAGAAGCCATATAAACCGGCGAGTATGTATGAAAAGAGTAATAAAATGAGGCGAAAGATGTATGTAAGGACCTTACTTTGTGGTGTTCGGTACCCTCTGCCTACTCCATCAGAGATACGGCGTGAAGATAGTTAGAAGTTATTATGCCTAGAAGTGTACATTAAACTACTTTGTATATATAATTTTGGCCAGTTTTTTAACAAAGGCAAATGATTCACGTAAAAGTATAAAAGACTAGTGGATTTAGTCATTGTGAGAAGTTGAAGTGTTGCTTATACAAAATATTTATTTTATATAGATAAGTTAATACAATTATTAGTAATCGTACCCCTTTTATATAGGTTCCTTTACGAAGACGACGAGAGCATGTCGCTAGTGATAAAGAACGTGAGTGCAGCCGACGCAGGTATATATCACGTGACCGCTTCTAACGAACTAGGCGAAGACTCCACCACGATGCAACTCATCGTGAAGGCCGCGCCCAAGATAAAGAAGAAGATCGAGAACCAAACCTGCATGGTGAGTACTGTATCATTGTCAGCCTTCATCTTTTTTAGTTCGCGAACGAACTGGCTCCTACAGACAATCTGCGCGTACTATTTCCCATTTCTCGTTCCGTAGTTCATTGGTTCATGGCAGATGAGTAAAGGTGAAGTCGACCGAATTAATGTCGTCTTTTTAAAAATATTAAGTATGTTTTTTACTGCCAAAATAATAAATCTAGTTATTTACATTAAAAAAATATATTTTAAGTATATAAGCTCATATTTTTATTTAAGTATTTTATTTTTTGTCCAAAAATTTAATGAAAATGTAAAATGTTCAATTATGTCACAATTGACTTTAGATGATACTGGAATGTTGTAATATCTAGTTTTACATATACGCCTTTGTATTTATAATATAAATATTTATTTATTGAATTTGTATTGTACTATAATTTATAGAATCGTATGTATTATTAGTTTAGAGATAGACTTTGAATATAATGAACATTTGATAATGAAGATGATAAATATCAAATGTAAAATCATAGATTAAAAAAGTATTTATGTTGCACGCAACAGATACTAAGGTCTTCTTAGCGATTCTATATAATAACTTAAAAGCGACAATTTTATATGAACTGAAAAAAGCGACTACGGATATAGCAGAAACCAGTGAACACTGTTTAAAGAACCCAAAAGTTTTCAATAAGTGTAAGAAGAGTTTTAATAAGTATATTAGGAGACTGTTTATTGGTATAACCTATCCAATAAACGGTCATGACAAAGGTCTCAGTCAAAACCTACAAACACCATTGTGCACTCTCTACATCTCATTGTTAATGCAAATACTTATAAAATTCAATTCCTCCTGAGACAGAATTAGAAGCTGTAACTTTTGGAAACCGGCTCTTCCGATTGAGATAAACCAAGACCGTACTACACAGGCTGTCGAAATGCTTAATTTACTTGTTACTATCTTTAAAATTAGCGTATTTAGGACAATAATTGTTTTTCTAGAAGGTAAATACCAATACAGCATTGTAAAGACCAAAAAGTATCAAATTTAATAATCCACTTTATATACTTAATTAAAAATTCTTAAAAAAATTGCCCGGATTGCGAAAGGTCGTGGGTTCGAATTCCATCTCTGAGAATATTTTACAATATAGCATTTTGTATGCAAAATTATCGATCAAATATAATCACTTTATGTTTGGTCTCGTAGGCGGGCTCTACTCATACTGTGACTATCGAGATCGAAGGCACTCCCGCACCAGAAGTGCAATTCTACAAAGATGGCGTCGAGATCAAGAGCTCTGAGCGTATACAAATCGTAAAGGAATCCGATGAAGTGTACAAGATCATCATAAAGGATGCCAAGCTCATTGACACAGGCTCCTACTCCGTCGTAGTTAAGTAAGTGGTCCAATAAAATTAATGTACACAAAAACTTACCAATTACAATCATACTAGCTTTTTATGTTAGGTCAATGAATAACTCAAATTTCTACTATGAATGTTAGATTTGGGCAATAATTATTCTCTCAAATATTGCTTTGTTATGTTATTAATGGAGAGTATCACACGATGCCTAATTTTACGGATATCCGTACACAAAAAGATCGTTGACCTCGACGTTGGCCGAATGCGGATTGGAGGGTATTAATTAACGACTGCAAATGCAGCCGGAACCAACGGCTTACCATGACTTCCCAAGCATGGAGTAGCTTAAAACAGTATTTTTTTGGTCACCTATCCCGTGACTGACTCTTGCGAACGTTGCTTAACAACAACGATCGCGGGTGGGATTCTTACTGTCAAAATGAGTGAATATTTATGAAGAAATATTATGGACCACAAGCACAAATTTGGATTAAGCATTTTAAATCCGGAAATTTTTATATCAAATATATGCGTCGTTCCGGTCGCCCGCATTTACGGATAAAATAGATGCCATTTTTGAAAAATTGCCGTATAGTGCTGTCCTTCAGATTTCGACCCGTTTCGGTCTCTCCAGAATTCTTTAGGAAGAGTCAGGGTAACACGAGAACTAACAAAACCACTTGTCTCGGTTTCTTGATCAGAAGCCCCAACATTTCTATAGCAATGTGATCATGTCCCTACCTACAAGATAGCAAAAAGTTTTCGAACAAAATGCTACCTACACACTTTAGTTAATTGTTAATCAACTTTATTAAAAAGTGATTTGTATTTTCATACAAAATGCGAAAAAATCTTTTCCCCTATCTCTTTTTATAAGTTGTTCATTATATTAACTACATTATAGGAATGAGGTGAACCAATGCTCAGATTTCTGGCAATGGCAAGTGACGTCACCACCTCGCGTCACTAAAAAGCTCGGCGAATCTCGCGTCTGTAGTGAAAAGGAAACTGTCACCTTCGAGATTGAAACTGAAGCTGAACCTGCACCTACTGTCAAGTGGTAAGTAATTTATATATTTCTCAATTTATTAGAATATGATATAATCTACAAAGCATTTAATTCGACGAACATTTAATAATATTTATAGGTTGAATACAATTAACTGGACTAAGAGTCCAGAAAAAAAATCACGGATTTAGTCCACTCAATGAAGAAAAGATAGAACGACAATAGTTTGTAATTTTCCCGGACTTTCATTTAATATCATATTTTGTACCCCCAAGAATGAACCAGAATAAAATCGACCTCTGATAAAAATGCAACTCTTAAGTGAAGCCTATGAAAATTCTTGTTGATTGCTAAAATTATACGAGAAAATTATTAATTACTGTTTATGTTATTTATTTTTATGTTACTCATAATTTGATAATTTGTTCAATTCTTCTCAATGTCATCTAATATTGTACAAACATTGTTTATAATTATAAGGTTTAAGAACAAGACTGAGCTGTTGGAGTCTTCATCTATAAAGATAAGCGAGTCTGGCAAAGCGCATAGATTAGTGATCACATCCGCCGCACGTGCTGATGCCGGAGAATACTCCTGTGAGGTAATGTGACCATATTTTTTGTAATTTATTACAATGTCCATATTTTATGAAAGTCATATATTTAAGGCGTTATATTCAACACGCACAAAGATGGGGATAATTGAAAAAAAAACTGTGCCAAGTTAGTAAGTCTCTAAATGAAGACCGAAATTAACTTCAAATTATATCCTTATCCTTAAAATCCTTTAAATTATATTTTCTTAAATATGGTCTACAATTTCGGACTACCTCTTATTAAATCGTTAGTCACCCACCTCTCATGAGGAACAGAAAAAACTGGCGTAACTCAATCCCACTGATTGAGGGCTGTATCCAACAATTTAACAAGCCTCGAGATACTAAAGTTTTCCTCACCGCACCTGTAATAAAGATGATGATAAAATTATATTTGTTTGTCCATCATGTAGATTATTATATAAATAAATTACGGCGATATATTGACTAGAAATGTCACTTAACGTCACTCTTTTCTACATTTTCTACATAGTTTTGACGTAGCACCCACTCCTAATCTTTAATGCCTATTATTTATGCCATTTCTTGTTAAATTGATGCGAAAAAAATATATATGCAATATTTTTCTATTATCTGACTAACGGAATGAATAGAATTCCTTTTTACCCAGTCATCGTCCCTATTGTTGAATTGGCAACAATTTAGCGAGCCTCGTCGTACAAAATTTTTGGTCCCCCATCTGATCAACGGTCTTTGCGACAGTTTCTGAACGCATTTACCACTTAGCCATAAGATTTTTGCTTATTAAAGTTTATCAAATACTAAAAATTATTTATCAGATCCGCAACGTGCACGGTGTAGTTACGGATTCGTGCAAATTGAACGTTCGCGGTGCACCAATGTTCACGAAAAAGCTGACTGACATGTCAGCAAATGAGGGAGACGTCAATATCGAGTTTACTGTCAACGTCGAAGCTTACCCAGAGCCCAGTGTGCGATGGTAACTATATACCCTAATTACATATGTATTGCATAAGGTTTATTTTTTAATTTCATTAAATTTTATCTATTTTAGATGTAATTTTGTAACTAAATAGTTACCATAATAAAAATAACATCAACTGTATTTTATGCTCGCCGTCATATAGTCTTTTTTTGACAATAATCTGAAAATTGAGGAAAATCATTTAAAACATAAACAGCCAGTTGCACAAACGTCCATTAAAATCGAATTGATATTCATTAGAGCATGGAGGCGTCATTAAACCTTAATGTACGTTTGTGCAACTGACCGATAATAATTAAATTTCTGCAACATTAATATCAAATTAAAATATTGCTTTTGTAACGTGAAATATAATAGCAATAACAAAATATGATGAATTCCATCTAAAAATATATTAAAAAACTCGAGGTTTTAATTCTTTATTCGTTTTGTTTATAATTATAGTTATTGGACGCAGAAAAAAGGGTAGTTTAAAAAAAAGTTATATTTCTATAACAATTAAATCTATTTGAACGTTTGTTATTTTTAAATATTTCATATTTAAGGTATTAACTTATAAATCTTTCATATTGAAGGTATTAACACCCAGTTACACAAAACTCCGCTAAAATTGTTATTAGTTCATTACCGATACAAATTTTCTAATTTAGAACATTCATTAGAGCTTTAAGTCGTCATTAAATTTTAAAGGACGCAACTGTAACTAGGTGTAAAAATGTCTTTCTAACCGTAATGTGATTTCGTTTCGTCCAGGTATTTAGGCGACGTGGAGGTAACCGAGAAGAAGTCAGTGTTCAGTCGCGTGGACAGCGGCAACACTCACAAGTTAATACTGAAGGAAGTTTCCGCGGAGTACTCCGGGAAGTACACGTGCCGAGTTAACAACGAACTGGGCTCAGACGAGTGTGACGCCACATTTACAGTAAACAGTAAGTCACTGACTAACTATATTCATAGTGATTAATACTCAGACTTATTTATAACAAGAGCAAATAGGTTCCTTTTGGGCAAGTTCAGATCTCATTCGTGTCCTTAAGCTGGATTGAGGTGAAGAGTGAGCCCTACACAAATTAAAAAAATAAATAAAATGAAAACTAAATAGACCAATATGAGCTAGATACATGTATATATATTCTTGAAATAAGAAATATAACCTTAATCGTCATTAAATAAAATTGATATTTTTTTAGTTTTCCAGATCTTTTATCTGTGAATATTTTTTTAATATCATTTACATTCTCAAAGTTTGCTATTATATTTTATAACCATAAACTTAAAACTTTACTTGTTATGGAATAAATTTAAATAATATCCAGTGTGTTGATCGAGAAATAATTTTAAGATCTATTTCATAACTTGCTTACGATATTCGTCCCTGAAAATGCCCGCGAACGAAATCACAACCAAAAGTGTTATTATATACTGATTTGTTGCTATTAGGGAAGCCTCGCTTCACCAAGAGCCTGGTGGACATGACTGTTGATGCCGGGACTACCTTGAAGCTAGAGGTGGAGGTGGAAGGATGCCCCGAGCCCAGGGTCAAATGGTACAAGGACGGCCGGGAACTCACTACTGATGCTAGGATCAAGATCGAGAGGGACACAAAGAGGTTTGTATTGTTACGATCTTGGGGGTTCGGGATAAAAATTAATGCCAATTAAATTGACAATCCGACTTTACATAAAACACAAAATACACTCTTCGGGCACTACACACCACTAATTGATTGTCCAGATAGTTGACTTCAATAGTTTTCGCTGGTGTTTGCTCTCGTATCGAGTTCTCTATCACTGAAATAATGCCAGGACATGCCACGTATTTATAGCGGCCGAGGTATACTTTACCAACGCACAGAGGTGAAATATACCGAATATGTGGCCAATATTAAATCAAGTATGATTGTGCTTATTTAATGTTGTACCTAGTCCCAAATAATAATTTAAATGTGTATTATCAAAATAAAGGCTTTATTTATACAATATTTTTATAAAAAAACCTTTAAATCACGACTTCAGGTTCTTTTAGGAGTACTATAACGTCATGAGGATAAGATTTTACATGCCTTTGTGGTAGTTTTCTAAGACCTGTAATACAAGGATCTGAATATATTATAAGCTGATGAAATAAATCTTCCATAGTTTGTTTTATAGAGAATTTTCGGGTAAAGCCTTCACGATATTTTTTGATATCTTTGTTCTTACTTTCTTGGTCCTCGTCAGATAAGAGACCTATGGGAACTACTGCATTATATATTATAATATGTCCATGAATGAAATTTCTGTGAACGGTAGTCGGCATGTTATACCATGGATACCACTTTAAATAGTTGACAGCTGTTTTTCTGAATTCAGAGCGTATATTCTGAACTTTTCTTCATTTATGCCACTAGACATTGTCATCAAAATTATCCATATTCTATAAAGTAGATTTTTTCTTATACCAGTTATTTCTGCTGATGTTTAATAAATGCTAAAAAATCGTCGCGATGAATTCCCATCATTGGTGCTCCCATAGCCATGTTTAGGCTGATCTGCTAAAATTCCCAGCTTGGATTTAAATTCATATTGCACTCTTTTTTTCTCTAATTCTACTTTACATTTATCATCTGCTCCTCTCGCTTGCCACTTGCATACAACAAGTTTAACATCCATACATAAAATCTGATCCAGCAGTGAAGTAAAGATAGACCCAGTTGTAATCGATGTTGATCTATAATTGGTTTACTTAAACAGTAGTTTAGTTTATTGAAATCCTTTGCTGTAACACCACATAAGTTGCATCTTTGAGTGGAAGCAGTATGTGTGAGTGTGAGCTTCATTTTGTTACGGGTTCGGTGCTTCGTCAATTAAATAGGCTGATCAGCTTGAGTATAATTTATTAATGAAATAAGGGTAATAATAAAAAAAACCCTTGTCGGGCTTCTTGTTACACTTTTGGATCGTACAAAATACAGTTTTAATTTAGTAAATATGTTATATTATTGTATCACCATAATATATGAATTATTAAAATTACATAGTAAAATTTATACCAATAATATTGTATTATATTATAATTTCATCTTGTGTATAGGAGAATTTCTTACGAACTGACATCCATAAAGAGTAAAATTGATTAGTCAAAATTTTAAATTACGAAAGACGAATAGTAAAATGAAATGATGTTGAATTTCAAAAGCAAAAAGTTTGCATACTGAAACCTAGGAAAACAAACGGTGGCATGGCACACCGTTACAATACCGGGGGGGCCGGGGTTAAAAAAAATCTGAAAGATTTTTTTTTAGATATTCTTGGATTACTCAAGCTTAAAATATTTTATATAAAATGTGATTAATTAATGCTATCATGATTTAATTTAGAAATGGGGATGGTATATATAGTGGATAAATTACATTAGGCGATTTCCCTTTCATAAAATGTTCTTACTTCATCATTCAAACATCATTCAAACAATCTTTATCTTATTAAGATAAAAATTCCTAGCAATTAGAGGTAACTTGTATTTAAGAAAGATTATCTCTAATAAATCGACCTAGAAAATAGTGTAGGCTTCTTTAAAATAATGTCAGTCACCACCCGCTGACTTTAGGTGAATTGTGTAGTGTTGTTGAGTGTAGATGAGTGTGTTGTGTAAGTGTCTAAATGTAGAGTGTAGAATAATATACAATCGTAGTAATAAATAAAGTAGGTAATGCATTAGGTATAACAATACATTATGTAGTGTTAGATAGTAAGTAAATAAGTATACATAAGTACACAAAGAAATATTTTGATATTGGCTTATTTATAGTGTTATCAACCGCACTTTAAAATTGATATTTGACATTGGCTTGTTTATAGTGTTGTCATCCGCACTAAATTGGTATTTTGACATTGGCTTATTTATAGTGTTGTCAACCGCACTAGATGAAAATAATAAATTATGAAGATAATAAAAATAACAATAAGTATGAGTAGCCAAATAATTAAATGAAAACGTTATGAGTATTTACAGGGTACTAACAATAAATAAATAAGTAATCCAAGAATATTTCTCAAGGTCTCCTATCATTGGTAATAAAATTTCACGCAATTCTTGAGCCGTTTGGGTGGATTCAAAATTCGCGTTTCGTAATTTCAGTTCATAAATAATTTCTGGTTTATTCAAGTACGATATATCCATGATTAAAATTGGTTATTATAAAAGAAATGAATGTCAAATCGTAAACGGAAAATAAATTACAATATTCTATTTTTTAAATATTAAAAATAATATTATTCGTCAAAAAGAAATCTCATCAAATTTTTGAAAAAATTAAATAATGCCTTACGTACCTTTATATATACGGAATCTAATTAATTATTTACTATTAAAATTTTCCTGTTTTATAACACTATGTTGAGTACGTGTTTGTATGTTCCTCGATACAATGGCATCAGAACCGATCACATTTGTGACCAGCCAAAGTAACGCTGAACGTCTATTGTCTGATTATGTGAGTAAATGTGTTTGTGGTGTTGGTCGTAAAGTGTGCACTATTGTCTTCTATTGCAGTAGTCAGCCTATTTTTCAACCACGTTGCGGCGCCAGTGTTACGGGTTCGGTGCTTCGTCAATTAAATAGGCTGATCAGCTTGAGTATAATTTATTAATGAAATAAGGGTAATAATAAAAAAACCCTTGTCGGGCTTCTTGTTACACTTTTGGATCGTACAAAATACAGTTTTAATTTAGTAAATATGTTATATTATTGTATCACCATAATATATGAATTATTTAAAATTACATAGTAAAATTTATACCAATAATATTGTATTATATTATAATTTCATCTTGTGTATAGGAGAATTTCTTACGAACTGACATCCATAAAGAGTAAAATTGATTAGTCAAAATTTTAAATTACGAAAGACGAATAGTAAAATGAAATGATGTTGAATTTCAAAAGCAAAAAGTTTGCATACTGAAACCTAGGAAAACAAACGGTGGCATGGCACACCGTTACAATTTCAGCTACATATGTCAACTCCATTGTTCTTCTCAACTTCTTAAATCTTGAGATTTCCTCCTTCTTGTTCTTTCACTGCATTCCTCAAAATCTTTTTGCGGCCTTCCCGCAGAACTATTGCAGATTCTATGTCTTTCTTGCAAAGGAAAATTGATAGATGTATCTAACCAGTTACTATACTTTCGAACCGTTACCACTTGCCACTTCTTGTTATATTGATAAATAAAGCGAAATAACTCTTATTTGATATAATTTGGTAATTCATCTTCACAGTGTGTAATTTCCCGAACCTTACTTACTAAGCATTCAAATCGAGCTCCATGATCATTAGAATTACTAATTAAATAAAAACTTACAAGATTTCTACGGCCAATTGCTATGCTATGTTGGATACTGCCTGAAAAGTAATTATGAATACATTTATAACTCGTATATGCAATTGAATTTTGTTATATTTTGTTCAGGTGACGCAAGAGGTAGCACCTAAATTTTATATAATTTAAAAGCTAATGAAACGTAGTTTTTAAATAACTAATAAAAACGGATTGAGTACGGTTAAGTATAAACGTTTTTACTATGAGAATAAAAATAAACTAATAAAAAAAAGCCTCGTATTTAAAACGATACATCTTCACCCTCGTAAGTGATGTAAACATTTCAGTGATTGATTAAGAAAGACACTTACCTGAAGGTATGGAATCCATAATTTATTAATACAAATATTCACTAAACAAATAATAAACGTGATTTAAACTGTAGCTCAAAATCGTAATAAATTAATCTAATAAACAACCACTACCACATTCAAACATGTATGTAAGAGAAAAAAGTATGAAACGTTTTGTTACTCACCAATAGGTGGCGCTGTATACCAGGATAGTAATTTACATTAATACTTATGACTTGCTTATATTTTATTTTTAACGATTTTGACCATATATTGCGCCAATTTCACCACCGTGCAACGTCTAGAATGTTTTAAGTTAGAACCTAGAATATTCTGTCTTCGACGCTACCGGTGTATTCGCGGTATTATCACAAAGATCTAAAACGGCTACCCATCCCTTCTTCCACAGTAACCGACGTATAGCTATATTACACGTAGTTTGGACGATGTTAGCGCGATTCAGATGACACGTAATGCCATCTAGTAACGAGCAGACGAAACATCGCTACGCTTCGCTTTGTAACAGTATTATCATCGTCAGCTTATTATTGTCCCTACTGCAGAGCACAAACATTCCTGTGGTGGATCGATTGAGATGAACGGACTAATTTAAAATTCTTTTTGTGTCGTAGTTGGAATGGTTTATGCATTGTCCCTATCGCCTGTCAGTTAACGGGGGTTGTGTGGGACTCTCCATCCACATAGACCCGTCCGAAGGCTAGTTAAAACGTGGATAGCATACCCACTAAACCCCCTCTGATGTACGTGGGAACGGTATTAACATCCTGCAGATGTAGTCAAGACCGATGACTTAACATGCCTTCCGAAGCACTGAGATATTATTTTTTTATATTGTAATTGGCACAGCGCCAGATGCCTTCATCACAGACAATACTAATATTATGCTTGAAACAAATTCGATTATTTGAAAAAAAATACCATTTTATCTTGGCTTGGACGTAGATAATTGTGATACTCATTACTTCTGATTGTCGTACTTAACATCTGATAGTTCTTTATGACTGTTGTTTTACGTTGATTTTTATTTTATTCTTCTAGATTGGAAAATTACCACCTAACTGTAACATTGGTGAAGGAGGAAGACGGTGGAGAATATGAGGTCAGAGCAGAGAACGAAATGGGAAGCGTCTCATCGAAGAGCACCGTAACGGTACACAGTGAGTATCATCATAAATCAACACTAAACAAACATTTAAACAACCACAATATTCCACACTGTTAAATTTTGCATTTTACATGTGTATTTCAATATTTGAATCGATACTTAGTTGTAATAGTTCCAGCATCACCTATCTCTACTCGCTGAGTGTAAGGTATGCAATAAAGTAGGATCAGTGGCACTCACTGCTATTGGCTCCAAAGGAACAGCTGTAGGTAAAGTAGAGGCACTAAATAATAAGGTCAACTTGGACATGATTTTGTAGGCACAAGACTAAAATATATACTCTTTACAAATTTTATAAACCGTGCCAGAATTCGTGTCCGAGTTATTTTTTGAAATAGTAGTTTGAAATAACCATGAATGACTATTGTTACAGTTATTGCATTCGCACGTATGTTGGTTTTTGGTGTCCTTAGATGCCATATGGATCTGGTTGAACTGTTTTTACCTATCGACAGAAGCATTCAGTAGACTAGAATGCCGTAGTTTGCACTAGTTTAATTATTGCACTGATTTGTTTTATATAATATGTGATGTCCCACATCATAGATCATCTTAATTTATTCCAATTATCATTATCTTTTCATATCATTAGCGAGAGAAGTACATTCGAGATTAAAGAAGGAAACTATTGTCGAAAATGAACTGGAAGATGAAAGCAAATCTTTAAAATATACCGTGGAAGAACCCGTGGACAGTGATGAAAAAAAGAAAGCAGAAAAAGGAAAAACTAAACCTGAGGAAGCCGAAGAAAAATCATTCTGGGACGATATGAATGAAGACACTGTTAAAAAAGTCACCATTGATGAGATCGATACGCCTGCTCCAGAAAAGGCAAAGAAATCTTTGACCGAACCTGAAGCTGCGGAAGAAAAATCAATCTGGGATGATATCGATGATGATGGACTACCTAAGAAACTTAAAGTCGATGATGTTAACAAACCTGCGCAGAACAAAGGTAGAAAGTCTATAACTGAACCAGAAGTTGCCGAGGAGAAATCTTTTTGGGATGAAAACCATAATGAACAAAACAAAAAGCCCATAATAGAAGAGATAGATGATAATAAACAAACGGGCAAGAAGTCTGTTACTGAGCCAGAAGTCATAGAAGAAATTCAAGCTCCTGAAGAACTTTCATCCTCTAAACGTAAATCGATCAAAAAAGATACTCCCAAAGAAGAACCTTTAAGTGCTGAAATCGAAGGTATAAAAATGTTTAATGCTTGGCGCTTCTTCTCTCTTCAATTTGGCGAACAGCTTCTAGATTACGAGGATCTTACGTTTTCGCATACACTGTTGCATGCTTTTAACCTGTGTTATTAACCGTCGAAGTGTGATTTGTTGTTTAGGCCGAGTTTTCGAAACAGTAACAACATTCAAGACAGGAGATGACGGGTCAATTATAATGTCTAAAGTTAGCAGCTCCCGGTCTCATGGCGCTATTATAACAGGTCCGTATGATGCTTATTCCTTCTCTTCCCGGCTCTAATCACATTACTTATACATCAAAACATAATTAAAAATGCCTAAAACTTATCTTAAATCAACAGATTCAATGTCTAGAGATATAGACATCATTAACACGTATCTTCCATTGCATGTCTAACAGAATCTTTACTAGTTATTGTTCTTCCAAATATCAACATTATATATTTTAACTGGTAGGTCCAGCCGAAACGCGCACATTGCACAAAATGACCTCTACTGCCGTTTATTATGACGATGATGATGATGATGAACTCAATAGCAGAAGAATAATACATCCTACAAAACCACACACTACTTCTTTAGAGGTAGAAGAAATTGCTAGTCACAGCTATTTCTTATCAGATATGGGCTCCTATACAATACCTGATCATGTGAGGAGAGGCACGTACGGAATTATAGAAGAACCACAGACTGACTCTGAAGCAGAAAACAATTCTCGGTGTGGTAGACAGTCTTCTAATAGAACTATTTCAATAATGTCCATGTCAGAAGATGAAATGAGCTGGCACAATGAGCCACTCTCTAGAGAAATATCTATAGAAGATCTCTCGAAATCTATATTCGATATAGATGAAACTAAAAAAGTCTTTAGCAAGGATTCTTACGTGCGCTCGTCCTCGTTCAAAGAAGATTATTTCACTGATGGGGGTGAAGAAGAATCCTACATATATAAGGAAAAAAGTCACAAAGTGTACGAGAATGATATCACAGATCGACTTAAACACATATCGAAAGAATTCGACGAATACGAAATCAAATCCGTAGATAATAAGATAGACGACGTCAAAAATCGAATAATGGAAGAATTAGTCCTGGGGCCGATGAGACACGTTGATAATATCACAAAAAATGTTACCGAAGCTACCGTGGAAAGAAAAAGAAAAGTCGATACCAAACTGTTTAGCGTGATGGAGGAAGAAACGGACGACGAATTGGAAGCCTTATTAAAACGGAGCCAGAGGCAAAGGAGCATACTCGATGATATACTTAACCAAGAAGAAGAAAAAGGTAAATTTTACGCATATAAGGTATTATAAAAAGGGGGTCCTTTTTCAAAGAAAAGCTGGCATTTTTAAAGTAACGCTACGCGATGTCGATTTGGGGATATAATAATGTTGCTTTAAAAATAAGTATTCTTGACATACATCTAACCGTAAACTATCGTTTTTAATTAACTGTCTGTTAGTGAGGGAAGTGATGAATCACCAGCACCTATGTTATGTTCCTACGAATCAGCATCATTGTACTAATGCTCTGTCGTATGTTTGTTTTAGCGCGCATGCGTAATAACATTCCCTTCTGGCATACTAATACTTGGGACACCCCGCGAAGATGTTAGACTGTCCGAGACACTGTTACGTTCACCATTCACATCATCAAGGTAAATCACGTTATTTGCGTTTTAAGCATGTTTTGTTGCATGTCAATGTTCCTAAAATTACACATAGTCTTCCCAGAAATGGTACGTATCAATATTTACGTGGAGGGATCTCAATGTACATATATTGTTCTCGCTTCTTCAAGGTTTGGTGAGTATAAGCTCAGTAAATAAATTTCCGGTTAACAGCTGTATATAATGCGAAATCTATTATGTGTCTACTGTAAATAATGCAAATTTGTATTCTAGGAGCTTCACTGAGTGTTCTGCAAAGGATTACAGCCGATTTCCTCTTCATATAAATACTTTAAAAATCCACTATTTTTATTACCATAATTTTTAGATCTAATTTCATATTTATAATTTGTGATTTGCATTTGAAAGGTACGCAATTTTTATCAGAATGATTAAAATCGAAACTATTTTTGTTTGATTTATCGAATTTACGTTTATGTTAAGAGTGCTCATAAATTCTCTTTCTTATCACTTAAGGCGTCTTCTTAATAAATACGCCTTTTTTATTATTTCCTAATTTCATTAAACAATAATGTTTATTATTACAAATAAATCAAACAATTTGTACACACGATTGCACATCAGATTAACACAATGTGTCAAAATGTCGCAATCGATTTTGATCTTTACTTACAATGTACTAAGATTTAAAATCAAGTGGAGAAATTTGACACTTTTGTATAACCTGACGTGTTGTTGACTGTACGTTATGTCTCATTACTTGCTCCATACCATAGCTCATATGAGTGCGTACTCCACAGCACCCCCGAAGCTCGGTGAGAGTAGTATGAAGGACGGCAACGCATACGAAAGTCTACCTTTAGTTTATACCGTACAAGCGTTCGGTAGTCCCAAGCCCGCGGTCCGTTGGCTACATAACGGCAAGGAGGTGAAGCCGAGCGGTCGCGTTCACATGTCCAATGATGGCGACGTTTACAAGATGGTGATCGATAATGTCGAGATGAAGGACGCTGGTAAATGGCAGTGCGAAGTCAGCAATGATCTTGGCAAGCAAGTGCAGCAGGCTGAACTGTCTGTTACACGTAAGTGTATTTTAAACAAGCTCTATACAGACGCATAGCTCGTTTTACTATATAATCATAATAATATGATTATATAGTAAGTCTATTAATATCCTCACTGCTGGGACTCAGGCATTCTTTATGGATAGAATAGAATAGGGAGAATGGGCCAATTCAATTCAATTCATCTTTATTACTTTCATGTGGTTTACATAGGTGATTCTTTTTTTTATTTTTTTTATATATGAACCCTAATAGGGCGCAGCAAGTTAGATATAAAATTAAATAAACTATAATTAAAACTCTTGCATATTGTAGAATACTTTATTTAACAAATCTGTTGTAGTATCTTCATTATTGTTTTGTGTTTTGGCGGTTCCAGTGCAGATTGGTGGGTATTAACGATTGCAGACGCAGCCGGGACCAACGGCTTAACGTGCCATCCTAAGCACGGAGTTCGAAATAATAAACTTTTGATCACCCATCCTTTGAACGGCCATTGCGAAAGTTGCTTGACATCCGTAAAGTAGACCGAATGCGGTAACCACTGCGCCATCGAGACATCGTGTTATTATTAATATTACTTATTTATTTCAAAAATCTTTTTATCAAAATGCTGCACCGGGTGTCAAATTAGAGAGTTACTAAAGTGGCTCATGGCGTTTCAAGTTGGGATTGCTTTTTGGATCAATCAATAAAGAAAAATATATTAAGTTGAATCTACTTCAATGTTTAGATTTTTCCCATACTATACCTATTCATATGGCAGCAGTAAAGTGATATTGTTTTGATATTTATTTACATTTTCCTTACATTGGTAATAACTAGAGGCGATGAAGCTCCACATACACAGGCTCGACATTTTTTATGACTTCTAATATTATTCTCCAATAATACGCAATCAAAATCTGTCTAAATATCTTCACGCAAAATCACCTATAGGGCAGAGGGGACAGCGGTCAGTCAAACTAGCATTAATTATTCAATCAATCATCATAATCATTAGTCCTTTTTACTTCCCCACTGCAAAGGGTCAGGCCTTCCTTACGGATTCGTAAGGAGGATAGGACATGACCCTCCACTCTGGCCCAATGCGGATCGCAGGGTATTAATGACTACAAATGTTGCCAGGAACAACGGAAGTAGCTTGAGATAATATTTTGGTCACCCATCCCGTGCCCGACCAGAGCCGACCCTTGCGAAAGTTATTTAACAACAACGATCGCGGGCCGCGGTGTTTAACCACTGAGCCATTCAATAAACGTTAATATTGTTTAAATTACATGTATATATTGTAGCGGCTAGTGATTACCGCAAACCGATCTTCACCACCCCACTGGAGGCACAGCGCGTGATGCAGCGAGAGCCGGTGACACTACGTGCGGTTTGTACCGCTGATCCGTTACCGCACGTTACTTGGCTGCTCAACGGTGTTGAGATACCGCCTAGTGCGGCTATACAGCCCAACGTGGAGAGCACGCAGATAGAACATGGTCTAAACGAATGCGTTTTCACCCTCCACATACCCACGGGTGAGTCAGACGTGGATTAATCTTATCTGAATTTACAGTTACAAGTATGATATGTTAAAGTTGTATTATTTATATGCCTTATATGTTCCTCTAGTACGTCATCTATTGGCTTAGTAGTATATTGTGTGGTCTTATTGCTAGGTCAACGAATTATTAAATTTACCGAGATGGGCCAATACAACTGACCTTAGCTCAATTGTATATGTCATCAAATTCTGTCATCAGCTTGCCTATCGCATAACTTACATCGATTTTCATAATGGAAATATTTTTTTTTATTAATTTTCGAAATTCCCTCAATGTAGTAATGTAGTATTAATTATTGATGTTGATTGATCACGTGATAGATCCGCTCACCACGTGGTTATCACGTCTCCGTGCGTCAATTATATTTTTTGTATGGCAGGTATTTAGGAATTCTAGGAACAGGTACTAAACGTAAAAGGTTTCGCTAATATAACTTCTCCGACGTTTATAGTTCATTTACACTGGTCGTTGGGATCGGCGCGTGAAGTGCGGGCGTCCTCTGCGCTCTTATCTTATTGGTCAATAACACAATGACCGACCACAAGGAAGAGAAATCGGCTGCACACCGCACGCAGATGTCATCGACCAGTGTAAAAACGCCTTAAGATTAGTCCGCTGCACACACCTTCCACAGTACCGTAATCGCTTGGGAGAACAAGTCGATTCCTAAAGCGTTCGATTTTGTCTAATATACAAAGACGCTAGCTAAAAGATTATGTCTGTCGTAATCTCGACCTTGTTCATCTGAAGCCTCGCATTTATTCTTGATACCAGCCCTATAAAATAATATGTCACTATAGGCCGTCACACTGACACCGGCGTGTACACAATCCAAGCTAAGAACGTTCACGGCGTGGGCGAGAGCTCGGCGCGACTCGATATCCTGCTGCGGCCGGAGCTGGAGGGCCTGCGTGACGTCACCGCTGTACCCTTCGAGGAGACCCACTTCGTATGCAACATGCGCGCCAACCCTGTCGCTGAGGTCAAATGGTGAGGACTTATAATAAGAAGAACCATTTATTGACCTCAATCACACAAACAAATACGTAGAAATATAAAACAGGACTGTTTAATAGTAAACAATGCAATATAACAACTAGGACCCGAGGTCAATTAGGACCCTAATGTGTACCGCATAAACACTTATATCGTACAACTTAATACAGCACTCCCCTTGTTGAGGCATAGGTCTTCCCTATAAATAAAAACACACTAGAAGAACGGGCCTATAATGATAACTTGCCCATAATTCAGCCCCAAAACTATGAAACTATACGTAACTACAATATAACTGGTACGAATTAACATGACACCTGTGAGCCTATTCTGTTTATCCTGGAAATCGACTTTGGATTTCGATAATTCTTATAATTTTGTCAAATACATACCCCTGACGATTATTTGTGCATCAATATCCTCTCCGTTGCATTATAAATTATTGAAAAATGCGTGTCTTTGGAAACGTATTAGCATTTCGAAAATAGACGAGTTAGTTCGAGAATTTGTACGAGTAATAACTAGGATCGCCAACTCGTTCTAGTTTGTAGATCTCATCGTTAGCTATCATATGAGCAAACTATCGTAAGACGAGATCAAAATCTCTTTAGAGGTTTGATCGTAACATGCAATCTTAACTCTTTATCTAAAAGATGCTTATCTCTTTTGTATGTTTGTATTATTGCGTGACCACGAGAGCTGCTAGTCTAGACCATGGCGTGTTCCGCTTAAGCGATACCCGATCAAGATGCCCCTTAAGATCAATAAAATTCATAAATTTTTTACTCTCACATCCAGGAGCAAGGATGGCTATGTGATTCAACCGTCGCCCCGCCACGAGATTATAGAGGACGTTCCAGCTGAAACCTACAAGCTTGTAGTGAAGGAGGTTAGTGTGGAAGACGCCGGTCTTTACACCATCACCGCCACCAACGAGATCGGTGAGGCTTCCATGCAAGCCCGTCTGTCTGTTCATAGTGAGTGTTACCTTTGTCTGTCTATACATTTACACTACAATGAAAACCTCATGTTACCATTACACGTGTGCGTTGTTGCGGAATTATTCATTGTTTAGAATTTTATGTTTTTTAAAATGCTACCATTGACTGTCGCTTACTGTTAAAAGTTTATTACGGCTGATTGGAATTTATGGTACCTGGCCTTAATGAAACGTACAGTCGATAATACGTCAGGTAAAAGATTCAGTATTGGCTGGTAGTGGATAGTTAACTTCGTAATTAAAAGCAATATCTAGCCTTTTCTAGTAACTTGATGCATAGATTTCATCAGTTTAAAAAAATCTTAGAGATTTGACTTAAACTTCTTAGAAAAACAAACAGATAATTCTACAAGAAGTATACTTAAGAAATTCGATGCCACATGTAGCATAGGTAATATTTGGACTGAAATACTCTACATTTATGTACAACACCATGTTTTAGAGAAAAATTCCTATTATTTAATGATGCGTTTGCATTATTAAATTACACATCGATAATGAAATTGCAGCCGGTGAGCCAATATTCACGAAGCCTCTACAGAAGGAAACTATAAAAGATTACGAAGACGCGACATTGCGCGTGCGCTGTGATGGCGTACCAAAGCCCCAAGTGTTGTGGTACCGCGACGATGTACAGATAGAGAATGATGACAGACATACTATCACCACGCAAGTTGGCGGACAAGTCGACAGCGAGCTGTTCATAAAACACTTCAACGCTTCAGACGCTGGCAAGGTAATATCGACACTGGAAATCAAACATGTAGTAACCTACAAAAGTGCTCTTCAGAGCAGAAAAACTTTTATTTTTTCCGATAAATCATTCCTATAAACGTACATGGTAACAAATTAGGTGTTCCTTAGTCAATTTATACGGAAATAAGTTTTTGTTTGGAAAAATATAAAGATTTTCCTGTCCAAAAACAAAAGATATAGTTAGTTCATTCTGTAAATATTAAAAAAAAACTCAAGTGAATTGTTCCTCATTTTTCTTGTCGGAGTTTCATTCGGTTCATCTCAGACAAGACTCCCAAATTTAGAACTAGTGGTTGATTACGGTAGCCAGGAGTAAATAAATAAGTCAAATGTATTTTTAAAATAATTTAATCTAGTAAATGTAAACGTTGCCTGAATCGTTGTTGGAATCGAATAGGGATAATGGGCCATTAGTAAACACGTGACACGTGAACAATGCAAACTGGTGGGTTTAACGATTACAGATTCAGCCAGGACCAATAGCTAAACGTGTTTTCCGAAGCATAAAGAGCTCGAGATAGATAGATGCTTAACAACCGTATTTTATGCTCATTTAGTGTAAATTACTTGTATTGAAATTTGAATCAGTGTCCTTATCTTACAGTACAAAGTCCGCGCGGTGAGTTTAGCTGGTGAAGCGGTATGCTCAGCTGAAATATCGCTTGCACGAGCGACACCGAGCTTCGCTCATAAGCTGGAGCGACAGAAGGACGTGGACGAGGGAGAACCGCTAGAACTCAAGGCCAAACTGGACGGCAGCCCAATGCCCACGCCTAAGTGGTAAGTTATCACTATCACCAGCCCCGATTCTACGAATTTTTATATCCTGGACAGAAACTTGATAATGCGCCGGATTTTGTGTTACCATATTTTAGCATTGTATTATTATTTTTTTAATTTCAATAATGTTTTTGAACACATATACGCGCCATTTTTTGCCAACTCTTGCCCCTGATCAATAGCTTAATAATGTCTAGGGGTGCGACCGCCTATCTTATTGATGTTATGGCGATATTATGTTCCATTTTACTACTTTTGACATATACTTTAGTAACGACAAACGAACGATAAAGAATAACGATTATGAAGTTCATAGTAGTATTTGGTGGATAAATTTGAGACAAATAACTTAGTTATTTGTCTCAAATAACTAAGTTATTTGTCTCAAATTTATCCACCAAAAAGACATTTCATAACATCGCTAACGAAATATCGTCATAACATCGCTAATATGTGATATCCTATGGTTAGAGAATTCCTCACAGATTGAATCAATTTATGAAAACAAGTCATACCATAGCAAAATTTTGGGCATCCATCTTATGACCGGGCATTGCGAAAGTTGCTAAGCTTTCACATTGCAGACCGAGTTAGCTAGCCATTGGGACATGGAGCACCTCAATAATCGTTTGATATTCGGTATTCGGTGTATTCGGTATCTTTTTCACTATTTGAATTCGGCCGAATATTCGGTTTTGGTACCGAATATATGCGGTTTGACACTGTGGCTAAACAAAGACAATGTAGTGATAAACCGAATAATTCGGCCGAATATCCGTTTCGGTTAAGTTTAAACAGAATATTATTCGGTTATTTGGTAAAACCATTATTCGGCGCAACTTTAGTTTCGATGCTACGAGTTTTTTTAAACTTATTATTTCCTTTAATGTTGCTATGATTATTGCTAGGTACAAGGACGGCGTAGAATTACCTAAAGACGATCCTCGTGTTATCCAAACCGCCTTACCCGACGGCACAGTGAAACTGAGCATCGAACACGCGACCCCCGCCGACTGCGGCGCGTACAAACTGGTCATTACCAACCCGCACGGAGACATGTCCGCATTATGCGCCGTCGCTGTTAACCGTATGTTATTTTATTTATTTATATACTACAAGGTTAGGGGTGTCACAGCATAGAGGATCTTATTTCTATAACTCAAATGTGACAGATGGTTTATTTGTGAAGTACAGTGCTATAGCACCGATTATACGATTGTAACATATATGAAAAGGGAGCTCTGTCTGCCAATAAACTATTAAGCAGTTAAAAAATATGTTTGTTTTCAATGTACTGCTTAAGTGAATAATTTTTTATTTATTTTTTTTATTTATCGATTAAGTAAACCCTATTAACTTTTGAAGTTGGCCATATTTGATTGTATCTTTATATTGTAACAGCTCGACGCTCGAAACGAAAATACTACATAGTTATTGTTTACACGTATCATTATTATGTTTGATCAAGTTTTCTTTCACAATGCTATACTGAAAAATATTCTTAATGGAAAATGCTTAAAAATCCACTTTGTCCTTAGCACTCTGAGATGGGACTCTAACCCATGACTTTTCGGAATCTGGGTGACTGCTCTGACAACTGAGTTTCCCAGGACCTAGCAGCACTGACGAATTTTTCCATCACTTGTTACTTTTTCGCTGCTTTTTTCAGTATAGTATAGTGTATGCAAAATTGATCAAATATTCTTAATGAAATAATTAAAACGAATTTTCATCTTTATCTAAAGTTTAAATATTTTTAAAAATAATTCTTTCGGCTGTTTGGGTGGATTGCCTGAACATTGATGAAAATGCGCTCTTTAGCGTAAAGTAACAAGTGCTTGAATTATCAGTCCTGTTAGGTCCTGGGTAGCTCAGTGGATAGAGCAGTCACTTACATTGTGAAAGGTCATGGGTTCGAGTCCCATTTCAGAGTGCCAGGGACCAAATGGAGTTTTTCATTAAGAATATTTCATAATGTTTCTTGTTATAATTGTCAAGTAGTCAATTCAATAACGGCGTTATGTTTCTTATTGTAGGAAACGTTATTCATTTAATTATTAAGAAAATATGAAAATTATTACAAACTCAATCTCTTATATATGTATATTTCCATTGTTTCTTACTTTGATGATGTAGAATGCAAAATTTTGTTCGGTATAGCAACTCCCCGCAGGCCGTCGTTCAGCCAGGAGTTGGAGGATGTGAAGGCAGTGGTAGGACAACCTCTCAAGCTAGAAGCTCGAGTGATGGCATTCCCAGCACCTGAAGTTAAATGGTTTAAAGATGGTTAGTGTATTATAATAATTATAATGTCCAATCGATTCATAATCATCGTTGTTGCTGAAATTACTATTTGGCCTAACAATTTATGCATATTGATAATAAATTGAAATATGTCGTCAGTTATAAAAATATAAGCCACTATAGATTTTGCTCCACATCACCTTTAGTTTGACTGGTGAAAAATGTCACAGGCATTAAGTCCGTCTTTATACGTTTGTACATAAAATTAAATTTAAAAAAAATCAATTCAACACTGTGACGTCAAAGTCTAGTGAAGGGAAACGTCAATAAGAGTTCCCATTCCAGCCTCCATCACATTATTTTATAAGCGAATTATAAGTCAAATGAGTTTATTAATTTAGTTTAAAAATTATTTAATGGTAATTACTAGTATGTTACTAAATACGTCTGCTGCATATTATACTCAATCAATCTACTCACATTTGCCACAGGTCTACCGATCCGTCCATCTCAATCTGTGAACTTCATAAATCAACCGGGAGGCATCGTAGGGCTCAGTATAGACAGCGCCCGCCCTGAAGACGCGGGCGTCTACGAGCTCACCGTCTCCAACAGATTGGGCGAGGTAACTACGACGTAGCAACCATGCTACGAGCCGTAGCTGTACGCTACGTGCGCTTATTTTTCGTTATAAAGGAAAAGCGGATTGATTTTTCAGAATTAAATTAGTATATACTCATCTATAATTAAAAATAGTATTATTACTTTAACCAAATTATTTATAGCAACATTTTCAAATATTTCTCATTAAAAGGTGCCTATTATAGCCTGTCTATTCTATAGTAAGTTAATGCCTATTTTATCTATTCGAATAACTATTTATATTATTATTTTATATATAAAAATTGCTGTAAAATAGTAATGTTATGTTTTGGCCACAGGTAGGTTCGAAAGCTAAAGTCGAAGTAACTCAGAAGGAACGCAAGCCAGCATTCCTCGCGGAGTTGATGCCAGCTACTGTCATAGAGGGATTCCCCGCTCGCCTTGAAGTTAAACTTTTGGGTCATCCCCCGCCGCTTGTTAAATGGTAAATCAATATAGCCAACAAAATATGTTATTAATTATTGTTTTTGCAGGTCTTAATATATAATATTCATATTAGTCATACTTCCGAACATTATTCCAAAATAATATATAGACAGTAATTTATAAATAAATAGACAATGATCGCTTTATTTAATCTAGATGAAACTATAGACAGGCATGCAGTTTATAGATCTTAATTTTATTTTAACTTCTTTCTTAAAGAAGAAGAAACTGAGTTAGTTTAATTAGAAGTTTATAAAATAGCATTAAACAAATGCGAAATACTTAATGTGACTATTCAGTTTTTAAAATTATTTCGCTATTAGAATTAAACATTGTTCTTGCAAATTTTATTTCTTTAGAAGTACAACTAGAAAGATTACGTGTGATCAAAATCAACAATCACATAAAGTATGTACTCCGATATAACCTTAAAAATGGCTTTACTTTTTTTTATTTTGTCACTTACCATAAAATATTTGTACAGGACTCACAACGGCAAGGAGATAGTGCCGGATGGTAATCACATCCGACTGGTATCTCTGCCGGACGGCACGCACGCGCTACTCATAGACAAAGCGACAGCCGCAGATGCCGGACAATATGCCATCACAGCTACCAACAACAAGGGAGATACCACCTCACAGGCTCTACTCTCCGTCGCCAGTCAGTATATGTACCATAATCATAATTCATAAAATAGCCAAAACCGGGCCATCTGCCCTACTACGTAAGCGACATAATCCATACTTCTACACTAATATTATGGACTAGCTGATACGTTACAATTTGTAAACAGGTACTCGTTCAAAATGTAGCTTAAATGAATTCATGGAATCGGCCCAGCCGTTTTGGAGTTTATTTATTGCAAAAACAAACATTTCTTGTATTTCACCGCAAGTTTATCCGCGTAAATTATAGGCTATCGGTCGGTTTCTGAATTGAGAAATCACAGAATCCCTACTGTTTATTCTCAATAACTTGAGTTCTTTACTTTTCATATGACAAAAAGTCCTAGTTTTATCAAATTGCTATAAATTGATCATTAAAAAATGATAAATCAATAATGAAAACCTATTTAAATGACGTTTAAAATGGTTTAAGCACAGTTTGAGACGTGCTCAACTTTAAATTCCCAATTCAGAAACCGGGTGTGGGTCGCCCGCGTATGATGTAGTTAAAAGTAGTCCCGTAGGTAAAAGAATTTTTAAAATCAGTCCAGTAGTTTCGGAGCCTTATTAATTATTAATTGCATACAAAATATAATCAAATATTTCCTTTTTATAAACACCATCGATAAAAAGAAACGCTCAGCAAATTATAATTTAAGAACAAAGTTAATATTATATAAATCAATCAATCAACCATATATTTATTATGTTATTATTATTTGTAATAATACAGAGCGTGAGGACGATTCATCGCCTCAAGAACGGCCTCGTCTGATTCATGGTCTCCGCGAGATTACCGCAGAAGAAGGACAGTCGCTGCATCTGAGCGCGCCTTTCGTTGGCAACCCTGTGCCTGACGTCACATGGACGAAAAACGGAGAACCATTAACACCCAGCGACAGAGTACTGCTCACATGCGACGGCAAGAGGGTAGGCATATCCACTAATATTGTTAATAGAATTATAAGAAATGTTACGTTTACAGGTTTTTCAGGGAAATATACTGGTGTACTCCAAGGTTCATATTTAGGGCCTTTCTTGTATAATGTACCTTTGTAACAATTTAGATGTAATTATAATGTCGATATTTTTCAGTGTAAAATAAATTTGAAATTAAATAAATATTACAAACGACGACGAAGCGAATGAGACAACGTAGAGTAGAAGACAACATCAAAATAAATAAGTATATAGTATCTTATTCCGTTTTACGTAGGGAAACTAGCCTAAAACGGGTGGCCCGCCTAAAACGGGTGGCCCGCCTAAAACGGGTGGCCCGCCTAAAACGGGTATGTACGCTTCTACGTCATACTTGAGTGTTGATGCGTATGTGTGCCGAGAGTTGTCATCAACCGAATATCTTCAATCAGTTCCGCTAGGGCGCTAAAGTCGCTTCATAGCGTAGGTGTGTATATCGAAAGTTTTTTGGTAGTTTTGTTAGAAAAAAGCAAGGTAAGTCTCTTAAATTAGTCGAAAATCTTTATAATTATCGGATTGTTGTTATTGACATTTTCATTTACCTCTATCTGACTGTAGAATTCCACAATTTCTTTTGTTGTATCAATTTAAATTTCGGGGTTATTATTATTTTACTAAGCAAGATACTCTTGGGCAAAACGGGTAGGGCAAAATGGGTACCCGTCTTGCCCTACTCGTTTTGCCCTGAATTCATTTTCAATATAATTCATCGTGGAGTGAGGCTACTATGAAATTGATAATGGAAGATGGTAATTCCTCTTCTGCCGCGATGAAGTATGGGTGTCCCTGGATGGTAGCTGCATGTAGAATTAGGGGACATGCAGAGAATACGTGTGCTACACCAGTGAATACCACTTTACTTCGTCCAGTATATTCTCCTCACGTCCTCCCTCCTCACGTTAAGCTTGCAGAAAAAGATCTTTGCCAATCCTAAGCCCAAAAAAACTGGAGTTTAAACCAGTACACCTATGAAAGAACAACAAAAATGAAGGAAGGCAGAAAGAAAATAAAAAATAAGAAAAAGAAACAAATTAAGGTATCGGTTGGAAAAAAGAAAAACGGCAATAATAAATCATCTACTAGTAAAACAAAGGAAGTTAATGAAAAGAAAAGAAGCAACAAATTAAGTATTATTGTTTTGTTTGTGGTAAGCCATATTTGTCCACCTGTTGAAGACTGGATCCATATGGTGATTTTAATGAATGGGCCAGTGGCGTAACTATACCGTTGGAGGCCCGTGGCAAATTCATCGGATATTCTGTATTTTTTTACTAATTTTATAATAATAAATGTCAGGAGTAAGGATTCTCCTATGAACTGGGGCCCTTTCCAGCAAGAGGCCCGTGGCATTTTGCCGACTTCCTACCCTGTACTTACGCCATTGGAATGGGCCCACGAAGCACGCACTTTTTACTCAGGTGTAGGCTCTTATTTTTGCGATTTATGTCAAGAATGAAGACTTAAGTAACGATGTTCGACATTAATCTACATATATACTTGTTACAGTAGATATAGTTGATTTAAATGTTTATTATTTTGAACTTATATTTCTTAAATTGATATAGATTATCAAAATAAGACATTAAAGAATGATTCTATGAGACTATAATTACATTTAGGTTCATTAAATTACCGAATCTTATCTTAAACTTAAGCCAAATATAAAGACTGCTTAAAAAGTAAGAAATAAGAGCTTATAAATAATTTGTTACTTAAGTTTTGTGATGAAAATAGAATTTAATAGTTGATTTTGTTATTTTTATACTATGTTAAGTCATTAAGAAGGTATAACCGTTTATAAAAAAAGTTTACTTGTTTTGCCCTAAGCTTACCTGTTTTGCCCAGAGAGGGTTACCCGTTTTTGACCAATATGCGGGCAAAACGGGTTTTTGGAGACTTTTTGTATTTTTCATACAAAATAAATATGTTTCATTAAAAAAAATTCAATTGGTATTTTATTTTATACTTCGATAAATATCCTTTGTATTAATGTAAATTAAGTTAAGGATTCAAGTGAATTTGACGTTTTTTTTTACATTCTCGCTTAGCTTACCCGTTTAAGGCCACCTTCCCCTACACATTCTGCCAATATTCGATATATCAGGGACGTAAAATTTAAGAGGATGTATGAATCAAGTACTTTTACTTAAATTCCTATTATAATGCAAATACTATATATTTAAAAATTATATAGCTTCTATTATCTGCGATTACTTATCGGCTTCTATAAATAATGTGTGAAACGAATTAAAATTCAAATATTTTGTCTTGTGTCAGATCTATTCGAACATGCAAAAAAACATAGTTATACGCTTAAAACTCGAGTATCATATAAATCGTAGATGGTAAGACAATTTGAAACGATTGAATCAAAAATAGGGCTCCAGCCGTTTGGACGAGATGAATTTACAAATATTTTGCATTAATTTATGGATTGATTATTGCTAGGTTGGCCTGGAAATCAGCCCGGTGGAACTTCCTGATGCGGGTGTGTATGGTGTCAAGCTGGTCAACCCACTAGGAGAAGATTCCTCTGAGGGTCAAGTGAATGTACGCAAGGTGTATACGCCGCCCACTTTCTCGCAGCGGTTCTCAGACTTACAACAGGTACGAAATTAAATTTTGATGAGTAAAGCTCTTTATAAAGATCACACTGTTAAACTATGATTTTTCAAAGGTATTCGATAAGGTGGATCGCTCTATACTGTAGGAAATCTGAGGTTTTATTAAACTTGGTGATTTTTGTATATTCACTTATTGGGTACATGCACCTAGAAATCATATGGTACACCGAAACACTGTAAGGATTAAAAGTTTTTCATGTAACATTGACATCTAATGTACCCCAAGATTGTTATTTAGGTCTTATCTTATTTGCAATAATTAAGTAACAAATGGCTATATAATGGGTTTAATTGTTGTTATATCCTTACTTATGGAGAGAGTTTCGTATTATACTCATACCTTTCTCTTGAATCACTCTATAAATTGATGAAAAGCGAATTAAAATATTTTATACTATGCATAGAGAAAAGTCTCATCACTCATCTAATTCCCACAGCTTCCTACTTTCGACGCTAAATTCCCAGCGCGTGTTTTGGGCGTGCCAACACCTGAGATCACTTGGTACAAGGACGGCGTCCCTCTCCGTCACACGGATAAATATAACATTAAGAGAGACGGAGACGCATGCTGTCTGTACGTGCGTGATCTGAAGCCCGAAGACGCAGGTCTATACAAATGCGTCGCCAAGAATAGGGAAGGTGAAGCATCTTGTGAAGCTACACTGGACGTCGTTGATAAGATGTAAGTTAATTTTAAGTATTTTATAAATAAGTTAATATATTTCTTATTCTTGTATACGTATTATCATTATAGAAAAATAATGCTATTTTTCCAGACGGCTTTTCCATGATATTATAGATGCATTTTCGTTTAAATCGAAAGTTTAAAGCTTTTATAAATACTTATTTCTTTAATATAATTGAAAATATGCTCAATAACAGCGAAACTAATTAGTAAGTATTAGAGAAATTGACTCTGTGGGATTCAGTCTGACTCGACCTATTTGTGAAAGGTCGCAGACGTATCTTATATTTTGTTAAACAAAATCAGCATCGCATATATTGGGTAGATCACAAACTGAATAACTGAAACCCATCGTTTGAAAATCTGAAACGACAACGGGCACAACGATCCAATTATGTTCAGAAGAATTGCAAATATATTTTTTAATGACCCGGCAGGATTTTGAAACATAAATATGGCGGTACATTGAAATTTTGACAGAGACGCTGATTCCAACCTGAAACAGTTTTTTGTTTCAAATATTTTTCACTAATAAATATATCAATGTAAGTGTTACATTGCAACCATTTGTTTTGTCACGCAGCGGTAGGAAACAGAAGATGGAACCACCATCGTTCCTGAAGAAGATCGGCGACACAGAAGTATTACGCGGTATGAGCGCCAAGTTCACCGCATGCGCTACCGGCACCCCAGAACCTGACGTTGAATGGTATGTATTAGATATATCATTAAAAAAAAAACCTACATTCACCTAGTGAGAATAAAACAATTATATTAAAAATTTAGGTAAATCGTACTCTAAGCACATAGAATAACGTATCGTCATCCTTTGAAATGAACTAGTAGTTTCAAAGGATGAGTAAAAAATGAATAAACATCTTTATTGACCAATTGAAATAAATAGAATTCTTACCCGCTATTATTATATATTTTTTGTTTAGAAATTATTTGTTTTGAAAGTGGAGCGGGGCACTAAAGATATATATATATATATATAAAATAATAACCATAGTGATAAAAAAATTTATTGACATATCTTTATGTGTTTATAAAGGTATCGCAACGGCGAGCGTCTGTTTCCATGCGAAAGAATCCGAATGGACAAAGAAACTACAGGATTACTGCGTCTCACTCTAAGCGGCGTGGACCAGAGCGACGTCGGCACTTATTCCTGCCGCATATACAACCCGCATGGAGAGGAAACCTGCAGTGCTCAGCTCACATATGACAGTCAGTTCATTATCATCCGTCACCCTTTTACGGCCCCCTGCAGGGGCTGGCCTTTATGGATGCTTAAAGAGGATGGGTCATGACCCTCCACGCTGGACCAATCCGGATTGGACGGTATTAACGACTAAAGATTCAGAGACCATCGGCTTAACGTATGACGTGTCACCCATCCCGTAACCGACCCTTGCGAAATTTGTGAAAATTAAAACTTTAAGAAGAAGTATTTATCAAATATAACAATATCTTTGACGAGCTGATATTGTGAAAATAAAGTCGACACGACCGCTATTCACTGTTACTTAACTTTACATTTTAAACGATAAAGTTATTAATGATTACGATAACTCCACAGCTCTAGAACCTCCAACTCAGAAGAGACCGCTAGCTGACCAATACTCGGACTTCGACAAGATGAAGAAGACCGGTATACCGATGCCGCTTGCTGACAAACCAATCATCTCACGGATGACAGATAGACACCTGACTCTATCATGGCGGCCATCCATCCCACACGGACCACGCTTCCCCGTCACTTACCAGGTTAGGAAGAATGAAATATATTTCACGACCGCATAGTTTACATTAACGATTATGTATGAGAACATTAATTGATGAATATTGGATCTATCATTTTTTGCAACCGAGATAGAAACTTGACTATTTTTTTAACTATATTTAATTTAGTTATGATTTTGGTGCTCCCCCTAGATATGGCCCTGGCTCAACCATCTTGTAAACTGTGTTAATTTAAACTTATTGTTTCTGTGTTGTAAATAGAATTTCCTTTCAACATTCTCTTAACTATGTAGAAAGGAAAAATCCAAAATTATAAACGCATTTTGGTTTTAAATATTTGTAAGAATATTTCTTTGGACTGTTTATGTATCTTTAGAGACGTATATTGTAGAAATTAATAATCATTGATATATGATAGCAAAAATATTGGAAAATTCGAGGTCTTGTTACACACCTGGACACTGACTATCAGTCAGAAGAGAACTTTTCTGAGATGAACTCGATTTATATGTCATGTAAGACATTGTTATTAAGCGACTGTTACGTTCCGTTATCTTCCTTAATTTAACATACTGGGGATTATAATTTTTTCTACAATCAAAGTGTTTTTTCTAGAATCATAACATTTATCAAAATCTTGATGCTTTTTCACCCTCCTGCCACCGGCGACCGGGGCCATTGCCCATTTGGCCACCACTTGAAGATGGTTGATATTTTGCACTTTTCTCAATTCAGAAACCGACTGTAACTCATCTATTTATTTATCACCCAGGTGGAGATGTGCGAAGTGCCTGACGGCGATTGGTTCACCGCACGTACGGGCTTGAGATCGTGCGCGTGCGACATCCGCAACTTGCAACCGTTCCGCGACTACCGGTTCCGGGTGCGAGTGGAAAACAAATACGGCGTGAGCGATCCGTCGCCGTATGCGCAAACGTATCGGGCCAAATTGGAACCGGATCCACCTAAGTTCGTGCCGTATCTAGAACCGGGTATCGACTTCCGACCGGAGACCTCTCCGTACTTCCCCAAAGACTTTGATATTGAACGCCCCCCTCATGATGGGTATTCGCAAGCGCCGCAGTTCCTTCGTCAGGAGTATGATTCGCAGTACGGTGTCAAGGGGCACAATGTGAATCTGTTCTGGTTTGTCTATGGATACCCTAAGCCGAAGATGACTTACTTCTTCAACGATGAACCGATCGAGATCGGAGGCAGATACGATTGGAGCTATACGAGAAATGGACAGGCTACTTTGTTTATCAACAAGTAAGTACAATAATTATTTCAGCTTTTATTACATACACATTTCGATTCTCAGTATTTGATTTGATTCCATCTATAAGAAAATCCTGTGCCCTAGATAGGCTATAACCCACCACACGTTAACACGCTCGGTCTGCGACACGATTGTTAAACGACTTTCACAATGGCCGGTCATGGGATGGATGACCAAAAATGTATTATTCGGAAATGCTCTGGAAGGCACATTAAGCCGTTGGTCCTGGCTGCATCAGTCGGTCATGGTCAATTCTCTTTATTCGATTTCATTCAATTCTATTAATTTCTTATTCATCCATAGGATGTTATAGTTATGCAATCTAATTCAGTCAAGTAAATGTTTATATCTGTAAATGGTGTATTGTTAACAATAAAGAATTGTCTATTTATCTACAATAGAAGGGGCCTGAGTCCCAGCAGTGGGGACATTAATAGGCTGGTATCATTATTGTCATCATCATCAGCCCTTTTACGTCCCCACGGCAGGGACTCAGGCCTTCCTTACGGATAGTTAAGGAGGATCGGCCATAACCCTCCACGCTGGCCCAATTTGGCGGATTGGAGGGTATTAACGACTGCACGAAGTAGCTCGAGATAATAAATTTTGGTCACCCATCCCGCGACCGATCCTTACGAATGTTGCTCAACAACAACGATCGCTGGCCGCGGCGCTTATCCTCTACGCCACCGAGGCTGGTAATGATAATCATAAATATCTCAGGATGTTAGAACGTGACGCGGGCTGGTACGAAGCAGTAGCGACTAACGAGCACGGACAAGCTCGCCAACGTGTTCGGTTGGAGCTCGCCGAGTATCCGACGTTCATACGGCGGCCGGAGGAGACGGTCGCCCTGCAGAGGAGGACCGTCCGTCTAGAGGCGAGGGTCACCGGAGTACCATACCCTGAGATCAAGTGGTACAGGGATTGGCAGCCGCTCGCACCGAGCGCTAGGGTCAAGGTGAGATAAATAATTCATTTTGAAACTGAATACTCAAAAACCGACTAAGAGAGAGTCGGAATTGCGCACGAAGGATTCCGTACCATTATCTTTGATAAACGAAAATAAAAAAGCTCCTTTATATATTTATTTAATGTATTATTGTTATACTATACATATTTATATGTAGAAATATATCATCTATGAAATTTCGAAATTTTTACCTGTAAAATTTCTACCTATAATGATTCAGGAGACAGGTAGCAATGTCTTAATTAGGTTTCCGTTTTTACCCTTTATTCAGAAAAGGGAGTAAATTATGCTCTTTTTTATTTGTATTGCTGTCTTCCAAAATTTTTTTTTCGAATTTAATTAACCAAAGCATGAAGTGTGACTATAGCATATTCAATAGAGTGTCCGAGTTAGAATATCCGTAAATGCATTCTTTCTCCCGTACGTGGTGTAATGACCTACCTACATAAACATCTTTTCTACACTTACTAATATTATAAAGAAGTAAAGTTTCTAACTTTACTTGTTTTTTGTAGGAAGTACATAATCTTAAGAAATATTGAACCGATCATAAAAAGTCTTTCACCTACATCATACGCAGGTGACACAGGCTATAATTAAAGCGGGCGAGATGTCGCAGAAAAAATAACAACTAGATATATAAAATAGCAAATTACATAATAAACCAACAAAAGGAAAAGGCAGCCTTCGCCGAGTTTTCTTGCCGGTCCTTCTCGGTACAAGGTCTCCCGCCATAGACTTACGAACCGATGGATAGAATCATAGAACGAACCATAGACTTACCGCATAGAGTTTCCACTTTCACAAGAGCTTTTTAACAGCCTAGACTGAATAAATGATTTGATTTAATAAAGTGAAAAAAAAAACTTTAATGCAAGTATGGAAACTGATATCTTTTGAGGTCTTAAAAAGACAATATCTGCAATCGTGTGTCACACGCAGATTTCAAAAGTTGTCATGTTTGAGTTTCCAAATAAAAATATAAAATAATATCTTTTATACTGTCTCAAATCTGTGTAAACTTCATTGTTATCTACTTGGGATCTGCTGAGAAATTTTTTATTTATTCAAATAGATCCAGTTCATAGAGCCCGATACGACTGTATTGACTATCCACGACGTGCTTCTGAAGGATGAAGGATTATACTCAGTGTCGGCGCGAAACGTGGCCGGCTCTGTGAGCGCCTCCGCCATGTTACACGTAGAGGAAGACGAACATGAATACTCGGACAGGTAAACAAAATAATATATCAATTCTCATTTGTATTTAAAAAAAGGTAAACAAAATACATTCCTTTAAATTGCTTAAAAAAATATGATGTAAATCTAATTGGTAATAAACAAACTATGACAAATAAGTTCAATTAAAATGTGTTTCAACAGAGAAAAAATAGCAGTTATTGCTGAGTTTCTCGCCGATTCTTCATGATATAAAGTCAACCGCCACAGATTTGCGAATCGAAGGCATAGCTTTCGATTTAACAGAAACAGCCTAGACTGAATAAATAATATTAGTCGGCTTTTTAGACCGTCCTTACGTTAATGATAACGTTTAAAATTTAAATCATCTGGTTTTTAAATAATTTTCTAAATCAAGTCAAATATATCTATATATATTCAAGTATATTTATTAAAAGTAACACTTTTGAATCGTGCAAATATTTTTTACCTACCGCTCGTTCAGGACGTATTCTGATAAGAACAAACAAAAGCTACCTACCAGGGGTGAAACTTTCTAGCCATTACTGATGTGATAACTGTGTGATGTTACGTTTTATTTTTTTACTTAAATAACGACGAACTTTACAGCAATCCAATAGCTAGAGTTGCTGGAGATGAAAGCATCAACCCAGCTCTTGCAGAAGTAACGACATGTACAAAAACAATATCATAATGAAATCAATTAGTGACAAGATTACGTACCTATACTGTTGTAATAGTTATTTAAAATACGAGTGCGGAAAGTAAGGTTTTACGAATAAGGGCCAAATTGAAAACACGAGCGTAGCGAGGGTTATCATTGGCACGAATTCGAAAAACCTTTTACGCTCAAGTTTCTTACAATATTTTTCAATGCTTTTTGCAAGGAAATAAAACAAATATATAGGTTAATAAAACTAAGTATGTATTAAAGGTAAAAATTATTTGTTAAAATTAAACGTGATATTTGAACATGTTTTCGTGTCATACATTTTTATTTGAAATATTCGTTCTAGGCTCCTTGAAATACTTTTGCCTCTAAAGTTAGGCATATTTTCATCAATTGTTTTTTTAATTTTTTTGGTGCTCGGCCAAAAAAATTTTAATAAAATACTTTTAAGCACGTATATTTTTATTTAACACGTGTTTAAAGACTCACTTTCGGTGTTTACAATGAATTAAAAAAATAGCGCTTTATGTGCAACTACATTGAAAAGAACATGATTTATCTTGTGGTAACATTAACCTATTATCTTCAAGTATTTACGTACATATAAACAATTAATATATTAAGTAACAATATGATAGGATCATAGCCCTATTGATTTTCAAGTATTTATAAATAAATAATGTTACTGTGCGATAGGATTCGCGAGCATCCGCCGCGCGTGAAGGCGAGCACGAAGCCGTTCGGCGATTTCTACGATCTCGGCGACGAGCTGGGACGCGGCGTACAGGGAGTCGTCTATCACGCCGCCGAGAGACTGTCAGGTCACTATCTCGGGATTAACTGTCTAATTTAAAAATCTATCGCTATTTTTTTAAGATTATTGAGTGTATGATATCGTTTAATTTCACGTTAATTGGTAGTGTGTTGGAAGCAATATTTTTTTTAAAGTTTAAGTTACTTAGTTTTTGTTGTTACTTGATCATTTACATAGTCATTCGCTTTGAAAGCGATTGTGACTTAAACCTTTACATAATTCTTTAAATTTGAACCGGTTTGCGATTGATTTTGAAAGTAGACAATTAGCCCATTGGTTATTGTATTATAATTTCATATATTTTTTGTCACAAAATGGGTATCTAGTATTACCCAAGGCCGGTGGAAGGCGATAAAAATGTCTTTGTTTTGGTCCCTTTTGATGATGTACAGTTAGTCTGGACCAAATTTTCTCTAATTGTCTCTTAAACGGTTGTTAATCAACAGGTTTTTTTTTATAATTTAAAATGTTTTAGCGACATTATGATGCTGTCCATAGACCAATATAAAATATAAATAAATATTTAACAACATCACATACATTGCTCAGATTCCAAGATGAGTAGCTAAAGCCCCCGTTTTATGGAGTATCTAAGACAACGAAGATCACACAACACCCAGACCCGAGACAATAAGACAATATAGAAAAGTTCATTTTCTTCATTAACCCGACCGGGAATCGAACCCGGGACCTCAGAGATGGCGACACCTTGAAACCGGCGTGCGAACCACTCGGCTACGGAGGAAATTATTATGATAATAGTATTAAATAATTGGTCCAAATTACTAATAGCATACTGAAATTAATGTACAATTTCTCATCTCTGAAACAATATGCACAAACAGCCAAGATTCTCAGAAGAATGGACTAGCATATCATTATAAAAATTACATACCTGCTCAGTTCGCTACAACAATTTCGAAAATCTGAAATATATGTTTGACCCAAAGTATTTACGCATCCAGGTCGCAATTACGCAGCTAAAATAATGCACGGTCACTCCGCTTTGAAACCGTTCATGAAGAACGAGTTGGACATAATGAACCTGCTGAACCACCGTAATCTAGTTCGGCTACACGACGCGTACGAGCACGACCATACATTAGCGCTAGTAACGGAGCTCGCAGGCGGCGGGGAGCTAGTGAGAGATCGCCTGCTACGAGGACCCACTTACACGGAGCGCGACGTAGCCGGCTACATCAGGCAGCTGCTACGGGGACTACAGTACATGCACGACAACAGCGTAGCACATTTGGGACTCACGGTGAGAATACTACGGCATCTTTGGGTGCTACAGCATTTACTCGCTTATATTGAATGTTAGTTTAGCTGTTATTGATAATAGATGGATGACGCTAATATTCTAATTTGATGATTTGTGTTTTATGAATGGAATATTTATAGTTTTATAAGTCGATATATGGACACTGTATTTGTAAAAAAATATAATAAGTTGTTTCAATATGATATGGAATTGTAATATGTTTTGAAAAGTAATTTTATTAAAATGGGATAAATTCGAGTGATTTCTAGATGAGACAAATCGAAATGACATAAAATCGGACATATTTTATAAAATTCATTACTCGTATTTATTATCACTTGAGCAAGTATTTTTTATGACCCTTGTGGATACGCAGGTGATTAGTAGGGTTCCAGTTTTTTAGCAAGCTCTAAAATACGAATCAGACTATTGATTGATCTGGGATTTGTAATTATTAGAATGGTATTATTTTGTATTCTCTCTTTCCCAACAAACAGATAGGAGAACTCCTCCTCTCCCACGCTGGCAGCGACGAACTGAAGATCTGCGACTTCGGTCTCTCCCGTCGCATCCAGTTCAACAAGCACGCGGCTCTAGACTACGGCATGCCCGAGTTCGTGGCCCCGGAAGTGGCGTCAGGTGAAGGTGTCTCCTTCGCGGCTGACATGTGGAGCGTCGGCATCATCACGTATATCCTGCTCAGTGGACACTCGCCGTTTAGAGGCGCTAATGACAGGGAGACCCTCACCAGGATCAGGGAAGGCAAGGTAAGAAATCAAAGAATAAATTTAATTAAATAATTGTACATTTTACTATAGACACTTTTGAAATTACTCAGATAAGGTAAAATTTCGTTTATCACTTATGATTATTGATTATAAGCTCATTTGTCATCATTCGGACATTTAATAAAATAAAATTGAGACGTACTTCTGTTGACATAAGGTCGTTATTGGCTTCGCTATTGTTTACGGTTTCACTAACTACATTTTTTTCTGTTATATTAATGACACGATTTAGAATCGAAGTTTGGCAGTGTGTATAGTATAAAGTAATTCACATAGTCTACCAAACTAAGTGCTAATAGAGTACTCGGTGAAAATGAAGCAAATACTTACTAGAAAAGTCAGACTGTTCGTCTTTCGCGCTCTGATGCTGCTTTACACCACATTCAACTAAAATTTCTGACCGTTCAAGATCATTACTAATGATAGCTCAACTAATAACCATCTACATATATCTTAACGCTCTATCCCTTGCGGGGTAAGCAAAGGGGACCGACAGCCACAAAGTAAAGTCCTTATGTACATCTTTCTCCTCATCCACTTTCATTACAATTTTCATACATATTCATCGATTTTTAAGGCTTCTGACATCACCTTCAAAGAGCACACGATTGATTTGATTTGTGAAAGATGTGTCGTGACCTTCCTCCGCTTCTATATCCTTCCACTTACGCGTTATGTATCGGTTTTGTCATTCTTTCATTCGGCATTCTTTTTCAATTCTTAATACAAAATGCTTAAAAAATCCACTCGGTCCCTGGTACCCTGAGATGAGATTCGAACCCACGACCTTTCGCAATCCGGGCGACTGCTCTAACCGGTGAGCTACCCAGGAACTAACAGGACTGACGAATCTTTCAAGCACTTGATTTTGAATGCGAAATTGATCAAATATAATTCTTTTTACATGTCCAAACCAACAGAGTGTATTTCTGTTGATTTTAACACCGACACTATCTTTGAAGTCGAATCAACTAATAACCAATTACTGAGAATATAATAACATGTACAGTGGGAATGGCACGACGAGGAGTGGTGGTCTCGATTGAGCCGCGAGAGTCGGGACTTCATATCTAAACTGCTCACGTTCAACTGGCACGAGCGTATCGGTGTTAAGCAAGCCTTGGAACATCCGTGGCTGACATTAGCCGACAAAATATACCAGGAGGAATACCAGATCACCACTGACCGTCTGCGTAACTACTACAACCTTTACAGGTGAGAAACATTGCTACTATTCGAATTTAGAATGTTCACAAATGACGTTGCAATCATTGCAATAGTTAGTTCACATTAAGACAACCGTATCTAGCACATACAGCCATGTCAAACAGTCAGGTGTTTTTTTTTTTTCAAAAATTTTGTGTATTTTGATTTTAATGCTCCTAGAATTTTTTATCGCTAATTGAAAGATACAGCCAGCGTAGCATGGAGAACGCGAGTCGAGAAAGGGGTGAGTGCGAGATCGAGCGAGATATATTGTATGGATATATCTCAGTGACCCGTTTCTCGAATCTCTAGAGTTCGTAACGCAACGCCGGCATCAAATGGTGAATGATATTATCTATTGTCGTACGAGTAAATAACAATTTATTTGCAAATAATAACATATCGTTATTTTCATCTGACAAAATAGTAAGAATAAATCTTTATTCATCATCCCTACCAATCAAAGTTTATTTCAAATGGACATATCAAATATGATATAATATTTCATTTTGAATTGCCATTGGCAAGACGCCATTTGTTTATTTATAATTGTTCGATAAAGGTCATTATCCACTGATACGATCGATGTTATTGGATACATGTCTTATCAATATATTCAAATTTTGTCAGTTTATCTTACAAATTAATTTATGAATACTGTGGAATTATGATGAGAATTATGATTCTAAGTTTTGAGCATAAACATACATATTTAAAAAAATCGAATCTGAAATTATATAGATTAATCATTACAATACTTATTTTGAACTCGTTATTTGTAATAACTTCTTCTAATAAAAAATAAAAAAACAAATACAATAAGTAACACAAGTTATAAGTTAATCAAAACACATATTTTGCTCTATCAGTGATAGATCGCCTTTAGCAATATTCGATTACTCTGATGCCAACTAGAAAATGTTGGCGGAAACCTCGCATAGTAAAGTTCACCTTTACAATCAGTATTGACAGGTGACCGGACGCTAGCTGCAAATTCATACAAACTCATTTCGATCGTCAATTTATCTATGTCAAACGTTTTAGTTAAATCATTTAAAATTCGAATAAGTATTTATTTTTTTTAATTATTCGCATTGTTTATTCTTCGAAATTTGAATCGAACAACCAAATTTGAGAAAATATATTTTGTTTTTTATTTTTTCATTTAAATACTGGCTGTAATTTCGGAAGTGTTTTTTTTTTTTGTTAAACAATGGATCAATTGAAAGATATCGTGTATCAATGGTGGGATGTTGCCAGGGATTGGACGGCAAACGCCCAATGTCGCACGTGGTTCCGCCGGCGACCGCTCAGCGGTGCCTTCGAGCATCCCTCCAAGATGGTGTACCCGCCCGGGGAAATCTATACGCCTGAAGGTAAACAAAATTGTTCACTTACGTCTGGTTAACACGTATTAAGTTGATAAGTAGTTAACTAAATTGTTAAATTAATTTTAAGATACTTGATTTGATAATAGCTGGTTTACACATATTAAGTTAATAATTCGTCAACTTAATGTTAAGTGAACATTACATTAATCATTTATAAGACAATATTTATGCACTTGTTTGTTTTAAAAAAAATAATCAAATACAAAACAGCTGTTTAATATTGTAAGTATAAATTAATTTTAGATAAAATAATTATACATTACCCACTGAAATTTCAAGTTGAGTAGCTAGGGTACGGTGCCTGCATGCCGGAAAATGTTGCGAAACGTGAGAACTGATAAAATTTGGTAAAAATGCTGGACTTACGCGTTTTAATAATACAAAGTATAGATAGCACAAAATACAGGAAATAAATTATTTATTAAATTTTGTAATAATTGTGAATAATCCCCAAAATATTATTATAATAATTTTATAACTTTTAGTATGTTCATTTATTGCAAGAATTTTCGAAAAAGGCTAATTTATATGTTAATATTAAGGTATATATATGAAAAACGAAATAAAATATAAAAAAATTACATTTACTTTGTAATAAAGCGTTAACCATAATAGGAAAGGACAATTTTTAAAACATCGCCTAAAGTAATTATGAAATGATATATTTATATTTATTTTTAATGAAATCAGGTTTACTTATTGTGAAAATCATAATTGCGATTGCTATTTCAGTCAATCATAACAAAGAAACATAACGATAACAACAAAAACATTACAAAAAGTGTTTGTGATCTCAACACAACTCAACATAATAAGTTTATTTGTCAACCAGTATTTATTTGTTAACGGTACTGATTGTTGGACACAATTACGTCACCAAAATGGCGGCCAGGCGCATTAGCATGTTATGGGAATTTCAAAGCCCATAGATTATGGATGGATGGATTTGGAATACCTGTCTAGATATAAAATACTAGTGACCGCCAGCGACTTCGTCCGCGTTTTCCATTATTTCTTCGCTCCTAATAGTTGCAGCGTGATGTTATATAGCCTAAAGCCTTCCTCGATAAATGGTCTATTCAACACAAAAAGAATTTTTCAATTGGAACCAGTAGTTCCTGAGATTAGCGCGTTCAAACAAATAAACTCTTCAGCTTTATAATATTAGTATAGATGAGTAAAAGTTTATTGTTATCGTTTGAGCATCGCTCGCGACATCAAATATGATATCAACGACGGTTTCATAGAGACTATCTCGATTTAGATTGTATTAATTTTTTTTTTTTTAAAAAAGCTACCCAGTTTGGGTTCTTAGCAATATTGTGATGTTTTATAATATTAAAATAATGACTACTTGTCTAGGCACACCGGAAAGAGATGTTAATTCACGTGACCGTAACACAGCACCTTTCGATCTAAACTTCAAACAATGGGAGCACCCCGACTGGGAGGTCTCCGCCAAGTCTGAGAGTCAGTAAGTATACTTAAGTCTTGCTTTATATACCTACCGGCTTGTTTTTATAGGAATACTATTGAGCCGGCAAACATTGTTTTGCGATACAAAAAATCGTGCCAAATTTTGACCTAAAAATTTACTAACGCATCTAATGATGTGATATATCTCAAAATGTAGCTTATTTTTTCACCATCATCATCATATGCCCTATTATATCCCCTCTGCAGCGGCATAGGCCTTCCATATAGATGGTTAAGAGTGGGTTTTTTACTTATTTCATATCGTGTAACTAAGCCTTAAAATAAAGTAACGATAAAAATTGCGAGGCTGATAGGGACCCTACAATAACGGTTTGCTACATTTCGTTTCACCTACTATAGAAAAATATTCTTTAGTCAAAAGGTTAAAAGTGCACATTACAATAACATATAAATTTATTTCGCCATTTACAAGTCAAACTTTAAGCTTTTATTTTAATGCATAAATTTTTAAAGTAACTTCTGAATTATGACCGGCCCTTACGAAGATACTTAACAAACGTATCGCAGATCAAATGCGCTAATTATTGCGCCATTGATTTCCCCTTATTTTGTAAAGATATAACCAGTGGACTGCGGGTCTGGGCGGCCTCCAAATGGGCTGCAACGTTACGCCAAAATCATGATAATATGATAAAGTTAAAATGAATGCCAAGGGTTTGGGGGGACGGGGTTGTAAACACAATATCAAGTTTTTCCCTGATTGGAATAGCCCCGGATCCCATAAGTCCGCCACTGGATGTAACTAATTTAAGATATTGTATATGACAGTTACCAGAATGGTCCAGACACGTATCTGCTGCAATTACGCGACGTGCAATTCCCGGTGCGATTGCGCGAGTACATGAAGGTCGCCTGTAACCGTTCACCTGGGTACAGCCTCTCATTGCACGACACATACGATCCTAGGGTGAGTTAATTTTATTTATTATTCATCATCATCACCTATAATTTTTCCGACTACTGGAGCTCATGCATTCAGTGATGGAATCGAATAGGAATAATGGGCTCTGCTAACATACCACGCGAGACCAATAATTGGTGAGTATTAACGACTGCAGATGCAGCCGGGACCAAGCGGCTTCATGTACTTTTTGAAGCACAGAGGAGTTCGAGACAATACATTTTCGGTCACCCATCCTATGATCGACCATTGCAAAAGTTGCTCAACAACCGTATCGCAGATTTCAAAAGAGGTTGCATAAGAGTCGGTGTATATTTGATGGACGATACGCCAAACAAACTAAGCGTTAGTATGCGACATATTATCCATTGAGCGTGTAAAGTTGTTATAATATATTTGAGAGTAATGACGTTCCGCACAGGACAATACACGGCCCATGTTCCGTCAGATACTGCAACTAAGCGAATTTATCCGCTTTATATGTGATGCTTTTGAAAAACAGTATAATTCCGAATCATTGATTGAACTTAATTTAACCATACATTCATAACCGAAATTACTACTGTTATAGGTATTTCAGAATTATTATGACATATACGCGATTTAAGCTAAGTATTTTTTGATCAGAGTTTGTTTATATATTTTTTTATTATTGAATCGCAGACTCCTATTATCCGCGAGCGTCGCCGCTTCACGGACATCATGGACGAGGAGATAGACGACGAGCGTCGCGACCGCATCAACAACTACGGCACAGAGTCTTACACTATCCGCCGTCTACGGCACGAGCTCGGCACCAGGCTAGATTCCTACGCCGAAGCCCAAGCATTAATGGAATCCAAGAAAGATGGCCAACTTCCATTCTTCCGGGAGAAACCTCAACTCCTCCCCATCAGGGAAGGAGAGCCCGCCCAACTATCCTGCTTCGCCGTCGGAGACCCGAAACCGTCCGTCCAATGGTTCAAGAACGACATGGTCCTCGCCGAAGGTCAACGAGTCAAAATCACGGAAGACGAGGAAGGCCGCTCCACTCTAAGCTTCAACCCCTCCATGCACCACGACGTCGGCTTCTACAAAGTGGTCGCTCGCAACAAAGTTGGACAGACCGTCGCCCGTACTAGGATAGTAGAAGCGACCAATCCGGACGCCCCGGACAGCCCGACTGCAGCCGAAGTGTCGGACACTGAAGTGTTACTGCGGTGGAAGCAGCCCAAATATGACGGAAACTCACCCGTCATCTGCTATGGTCTCCAATATAAAGAAGGAGACAGTGTCGAGTGGAAGAGCGTCGCCGATAACATCGACCACGAGTTTTTCGTCGTTCGAAACCTGAAGCCCGACACGAGTTACCAGTTCCGTTTGTCCTCGAGAAACAGAATCGGCTGGAGTGACAAGGGTATCCCCACCAATCTGGTCAAAACGAAAAATCCAGGCGCGCCGAAAATAGAAGTCACCAAAGCAATGAAACACTTGCAGCAAATCACCGAATCCGGCCAGGAAGTCGTTTTGGAGGAGGAGAAACCGAAACTGGACTACGCGACCGAAGAGAGACCGATCGAATGGGACTCGTCGGACTCGTTCACGGAACGGTACAGCTTCATATCGGAACTGTGGCGCGGCAAATTCTCTATAGTCATCAAAGGCGTCGACAAAAGGAACGACAGCGTGGTAGTGTCGAAGATTCTCGAAATCAGACCGGAAACCGAAGTGCAGATCCAGAGGGAGTTCGAATGCTTAAGACGATTGAGGCACGAGAGGATATCTAACTTGTTAGGAGCTTACCAAGCGCCGGGTTCACCTGTCGCCGCTTTGATACTAGAAAAACTCCAAGGCGCGGATATTCTGACATATTTATCGAGCAGGCACGACTACACGGAACAAATGGTGGCTACTATAGTAACACAGATCCTCGACGGTCTCCAGTACTTGCACTGGCGCGGTTACTGTCACTTGGACTTGCAGCCTGACAATGTGGTGATGGCCTCCGTAAGGTCGATACAGGTCAAACTCATCGACTTCGGGTCAGCACATAAAGTCACCAAGCTGGGTACTAGTGTGCCGCAGGTCGGCGAATTGGAATATAAAGGTGAGTGAATGATTGAATGAGTGAGTGAGTGAATGGTTTTCATGTTTTTATTGAATCATCCGTAACATCTCTCAGATTTCGAGTTCGATACCTGATGTAAAAATGAAACTATTCTTCCTAGTCTAAAGTGGATATTAGAATTTAACTAAAGACATCATTTTATGTTAACGTCCAATAGCAATTATGATTTTATGTTAAGCCCTGCGATTCTGTCTAAACTCGAATTTGAATTCACTCAGGTGTCTGAATTCACTTCAAAAAGTGGCATCTACTCAACTTTGAATTGGTAATAACGTTTCGTGACTTTAGTGAAGTGAATTTCGAAATGATATGTATACGTATATTCAGTCAATTTTGTTTTGTATTTCTATACAAAAAATGAATCAATAGAATTCTTCACTAAATGACGTGAATTCGGAGACATGAGTCAATTCGAATTCGAGTCTAGATTTTTACTGAATCACAAGGCTGATTGTAATAATGTAGTTATTTCTGATGTTTACAGTAAGACCTCGGTATTGCATGTTTCTTGCACGTTTTATGTAGTTAACAGCACTTCAGGCTACTTCAGGCTAGTAAATCTTCTTTTCATCATCAGCCCTTTAACGTCCCCACTGCAGGGGCTCAGGCATTTCTTATGGATGGTTAAGGAGAATGGGCCATGACCCTCCCACGCTGGCCCAATGCGGATTGGAGAGTATTGACGACTGCAAATATAGCCAGGACCAACGGCTTAACGTGCCTTCCGAAGCACGGAGTAGCTAGAGATAATAATTTTTTAGTCACCCATCCCGTGACCGACCCTTGCGAAAGTTGCTTAACGACAACGATCGCGGGCCGCAGTACTTATCCACTACGCTTCTTCGGCATCGAGCCTAATCTTCTTTTATTGCAAACGAAATAAAATATACCAAATTATATAAAACTCTTTTCCCTTATCCCCCCATCTCCCTTCCTCCTCAGGACCACACGTGCTGGTTTGCGTTGCCACCAACTAACTGTGGCAACGATTCCTTCGCGTACAAAGAAATTTGGCGACTCATTTCTTTGTCGTACTTCCAAAAAATGGAATTGTCTCCCGGCCCATGTATTCCCTCCATCCTATGACATGGGGTCCTTCAAGCGGGGCGTGAAGAAGCATCTTGCAGGTCGGCAAGGTGAGGTTAGCTAGTGCAGTACCTACGTACTGTTTTACACTAGCTGTCCTCGCGTTTGGACTGCGCCTCCACTTACCATCAGGTGGAGCGCAGTCATTTGCAGTCATTTGCCCTCCATTTTTTATAAAAAAAAAAAAAAAAGAAGGATTATAAATCTGTAAAAAAAAAATATAAACAAATATATATTCATTTACGTGTACATTCATATTGGTACAGCCCCTGAGATAATAAACGACGAGCCAGCGTACCCTCAGACTGACATCTGGTCGCTGGGCGTGCTCACGTACATAATGCTGTCGGGAGTATCGCCGTTCCGCGGCCACGATGACCAAGAGACCAAACAGAACATATCCTTCGTACGGTACAGGTTCGAACACTTGTACAAGGAGATCACGCAGGTACGTAATCTATGGATTTTGTTATAGCGAAATACAGGGTTATTTCCCGCCTTCAACAGGAGGGTTATGTTAATTTTTTTTAATACATCATCCTCGCAAACAGCCAACATCATAAACAGTAATGGATCTACGAGTTACCATAAGTCAATATTTTTAACAAAAATGATTTTTGAAGATTTTATTGTAATTTTTATTGTAAAAATACGCTCGTGTGAATTACGGAGCAGTAAATTAAATTAAACTTTGTTTTTGTTTCTGAAATGCAATGGATTAATCAAAACTCTTAGAAAAAAATATTGTTGTTTTCACTAATTTGTTAAGATAATAAAAATCTCGATTAAACAAGGGAAGATTTAATACATAAAATTTAAAAATGTATAGGTAATTAGTACATATTCTACAGTTTTATGTCGAAAAAAATTGTACTGATCAAAAACTTAGCCTGTAAACTATACTTATGAATTTAAAATCTAATAAGCCATAAATGCGTCTTCAGCAGTTTAGTCCCGTTACAATTAAAATTCCATGAAAAAAATCTTCTCTTCTCGAACGAAAATTTTCTTTTTAGATATATTACAAAATTTACAAAATTCGCCGGAAGCATTCATCCTATTTACCATGACTTCTATAAGTAATGATATAATACCACCTGATGGCTTGTGGTATAACATTCACAGGAGGCGACCAGATTCCTGATGTTCCTGTTCAAGAAGGTGCCGTTGAAGCGGCCGTCGGCTGAGGAATGTTACGACCACCGCTGGCTCACGCAGAGCGACTTCATGATCAGGAAACGGGAACGAGCCGTGTTCCTCGGGAACAGGCTCAAGGTATATCCAATAAATACTATACGAGTTAAATAAGAATAGCACTGTCAAACAGCCATTTTGATTCGCATTAGCCTTCAACTTCATGGTGTAAGATGTACAAAAAAAATCATCGCATTAGTATGATACTACGGTATGAGATAACGGATTACGACACACTGACATAAGTAATTAACTTGAAGTCATAAAATATCAAAGCGTTTAGAGTGGCCAGCGCCACGTTAGGACAAAAAAAAACATTAATTTTATTTGAAAATATATTTTTTTGATTCTTGATAAAGTTATGTTGAAATTAATAATAAATCTATAAAATAAATATACGCGTCTATGTATACAGAGTTAAACGAATCCAAAAACAAATGTTTGGCGAACTTTACTTTCTGTGCTGTGAATACTGAAATTACAACTTAGGCGTAAAGTTGGTAGCTAATCCTATCCTATTTTGATTTGGCTCGCATAGTAAGTACCATTTAAAAAAAAATTAAGAGTAGGCCTGCTTCAATCAACCTTGCGTGTTGTTTTGAGCCGACGGATTATAAGCCTTAATATTTTGATAGTTCAAAATTCAAAATCTAATATGTACACTCAACTGCACGTCTGACTAAACAAAACTATCATATTTCCGCACAAAATTTTAAACCTTAAAAAATTAAGATTAGAGGACAAAATCCATTGCAGACATCCGACATGTTGCAGTAACCTGAAATGCAACCGTGTGTACATATATTTTAAATGGTACCTGCATAAGTAAGTAGTTACTAAAACAAAAGAAAATAACCAAAACAACCGTTGTCACAATGTTTATGGTTTTTTAACAAACTTGCAAACCTAAGTAGCCTGAAAAAAATTAAATTACATATTAAATTTAAATATCTTATCAGGAATTCTCCGATGAATACCACGAGAAGAAATCCCGCGAGGCGTCACAAGCGGACTCTGTGTCCGCCGCGTTCGGCAAAGTAGCGCCGCGACATCTCACACGCTCCAACAGCATCCAAGAAGAACTGCTTACCAACTTCTCCAGCCATTAACCACCGCACATGCGTACCGTGCATATACAGGGCTATTTGTTAAACACCAGCAAACTCGCAAAAATACAATTTTCTAATTTTATTTTTTATTTCATAAGAATCTCCTCCTGACAATTACAAATACAACAAAAAAAAAGAATTTGCGAAATCAGTCGTTCACTTATGATGGCGTGACCAAGGGAAATAATCATATTTCATATAACATCCAGTTAACAGACGTTATTTAAGATGTTACCTATCTAGTCCTACGTAGTTGGTGTTGTACCAATAACCCTGTATACATGATGTTTTTAGTATGTGCACAAATTTTAATATTTTTCTATCGATAAGAAACAAAATAAGAGAAGTTTCCCTAAAAAGGTTGCTATTTATGTTTATCGTACTGTACCTACCTGACGGTAGGTTAACTACAGATTTTTATCTTTACCTACATATTAAATGAGATATGATTGTAATGCTATCTTGTTTTCTGATAGAAAAAAAATTGTGCACTCATTAAAAACTTGTCGGGTATTACTTTATATTTTGAAACGAAAATATCCGATACTTTTCTTTAAAAACAAAAATCAAACTTCGCTATCGTTAAAAAACTGTGATTACGATTTCGCGCGTTCTCGAGTTCATTTCTTTCACACAACCATTTCTTCGTGTACATTTATATTTCACAACGAATTTCTAGTCATAATGAAAATTTTGTTACGAAACTTTTGTTATTGTTAAGCTATTTATTGTATACAAATTTTTACTATTTATTATTTATACTGATTGGTATATACTTGATGCTCCAGTATTAATTGATATTAATAAAGGGCATTGATTTACATAATCTGTTTTATTTCATAATCTACTTCTGAGAATCTCATGGTTGTAATCCAGTCCTTATTCAGAAAGGCAATTTCGAAAAACAAGGTACAGTAAAGGGCATTCTATTCTGTTTGGAATAATACTTGTAACTGTTTATTTTAATTTAATAAAACCGTAAAACAAATATTTCTGAAAAATAAACACTTGATGATGCTTGACGTCACACGAATGTTATTTAGACGAGGTTCCAGCGGATTGGCAATTTACGGCACTTACACAAAAGCATAATAAAGAATGTTCTAATATTTTACTTAATCTTACGATTTTTTGATTAAAAATATAATCGAGAAATCAAATCATATGGAGAATGAATATGTTGAGTTTGTATTACCCCAAATGACAGATTCCATTTATTTGTAAATTTACAAATTGATTAAAATAAAAATTGAGTATTATTGCAGCTAAGTAATACTAAATTATGCTTAGATTTCATGTGTAAATTATAAATCCCACACAGACATTATATGGGACAATGAAATAAAACAAAATATGTTTCTGTAATAAAAATTCAGTAATATATTACATATATCAATAAACATGCTCATTGTTACAGAAAAAAAAACAATTCTTTATGACAATAACTTTACAATCGATCATATTGGTATAGAGCTACTAAACAAACATTGAAAATAATGAAACCCATAAAATTTGTATTGTATAATGTTAATTGCAAGCGGATAAAATAGCAAAATACAGAAAGAAAAACAGAAATTATTCAAATGAGAAAATAAAATTGTCACAGTATAGCAATTGATAAAAATTGAACATGTAGAAAAGTATAAAAAGGTGTATATGCTTGAAATTTAATGGCATATTGATCTGTTATTATAGATTGCTTAAAGTTTTTTGAATTGCATGTGTATACATAGTAAAAATATAAGTATCCAACACCCCCATGTATAAATACATATATGCATAATTGGGATTTTCATTGTGATTGTCTTTCTATTTACATAAAACACATCCCAGATACGATGATCCAAAATGTATAAATTATGCTTTGGAGTACTATTTTATTCATTTATTGTAATAATTTTAAATTCAGCTAATATGATTAATGCTTTATGTAGTTTCCAGTTTTAACCTACATATTTCCTTACCATTCTTGTATCATTTACCAATTATTAAAATTCCACCTCTGAGCACCCATTATTTTTACGGTACGTATTGAAATAAAACTATCAAGCAATAGAAAACATACCTATTTGATATTTCATATGAGTATATATTATAAAGAATCAATCATATGTAATGATGCTAATTTTTTTTTTATGGTAATGATTTTTAATAACAATATTTTTATTAAAAACTTATTTAGTTTAGATTTCTAATGAGATAGATTTATAATTATGACTTAGCTTGTATGAGTAGGTTTCATCTCTTTCCCTTGGTAACAGCAATGTATTCTTGTACTTTTGTTTGAAATTCTGTTTTATTTTTCTTGTACATTTCAGCTGCTTCTATATTAAGTGGGTCTTCAAAATTTAAGAGATCCTGAAAGCAAAGTAAACATACCAAATTATTATTGGAGTAAATAGGTCGTTGTCATTAAGCAACTTTCGCAGGGGTCGGTCACGGGATGGGTGACCAAAAAATTATTATCTCAAGCTACTCCATGCTTCGGAACGCACGTTAAGCCGTTGGTCCCGGCTACATTTGCAGTCATTAATAGCCTCCAATCCATATTGAGCCAGCGTGGAGGCCCATCGTCCTTAACCATCCATAAGGAAGGCCTGAGCCACTGCAGTGGGGACATAAAAGGGCTGATGATGATGATGATGATGATGAAATAAATACTCTAATGTCAGGGCAGTTTACCAATTATTTTTTCAATGACTCTTTAAGTTTTTCTAAACTGTGTTTTATAGTCTAATCTAATTAACACAGAGCCCACAGAGCTCTGTGTTATATCAAAATTTTTATTACATGAAGTAAATTATAAAATAGACAGTAAGTATTTCTTAATAAATACTTCTTTCCCCTTAAAAAGGTGTGATAAACTTATTGGTACTTTCTAAATTTTGTTAGGATAATTCATGCTTTATTTAGTGCGCTTCACAGTTACATAGTTTTCAGAAATGCCCATTTTTTGGGTAGAAAAAATTATGGCACTCTGAATATGAACCTATTTCTCCTGGGTTTGAGATCTTACAATATCCAATCTAAGCTACTACAACATCAGAAACTGTTGTGAAATGTAGCATTGTATTCTAACGATATAGCAGCAATAAAAAAAAAATGGATTAAAAGACATGGTAAAATGAAACCTAGCTAGATCATTTATTCTCTCATACCAAATTTCATGTAAATCTTTGGAGCCGTTTCCAAGGTATTAGATTATTATGAGCTATATAGAACAGTTGACACTTACAGTAAATAATGAATTTAAGCCCCAAACAACATCTTTCAGTCTACGGGTAGGTGCCCAACCATGTTCATCTATGGAGGTCTGTCTGAGTAGTGATAGGCAAATGTCACCGTCCACATTAATATTTGGATGCCATAATCTTGTTAGACATTTCACTTTAGGAGGCTGAAACATTAAACACGTGAGGAAATTAACTTACCACATAACTGGAGCAAAATAGTCCCAATACAAGAATACTTACTGGGACAATTTCAAAATTGTAACAGACAGAAATAATGTTAATAAAGAGCTTTTTTTTTTGTAGTACAATGTTTGTTCTACATCACACATTGAACACAAATAAATAACTTTCATAAATAATATGTAAGTCTGTCTCTCCATTTCTAAACGTGAGTGGTTATTGGTTGTTATTATTATTTTTATAAATGATAAAGAATGCAAACAAACATAACTAACATAATATTTTAATTAATGTTATGAATGTTTTTTTTTAAACTTAAACTGATACATAATTTGAACTTGAGTTTCAAAAACATCTTTGTCAGAGGAAGTTTCTCCATAAGTCATGAGACTGTTTAATATGACATTTATTGATTTTACTTACTGCCATATTATAATCTTCAGTAACAAACACACTGAACCTAAATTTGCCACCAGTCCAATAACCTTCGTCTGGGCAGACGGTTAAGATGAATTCACTAAGGACGTCGGGGTCTTCGAAATGCACAGAACACGTCATTGGAAGGTTCTCGTTCATTTCCTGTACTTCTTTCACTAATAGTTTATCTCTCACCGATATTCTTTTCACAGGCTCTACTGTTAAGCCATTTGTCGTTTCGGTAACGTCCTTTTTCAATTTTCTATTAAGCGTAATCATGGTTTGTAGGAAAAACAAATTTATTGAGAAAGTTGATTCATATCAGTATTGGTTACAATCCTGAAAATTTTTATAAATCGTTATCAAGGCATTCAGGCAGTACAAATATTTGAATTTTCTTGATATTCTCATGGAATTTCTCTACCCGAGTGGTTTGATTTGACATTGATTAAAGTCAAATGTCAAATTGCAGCTGTCAATGATAGGTACACAAGGCTGCACGTCGAGTTTTCTCCCAAAATATAAAATTTTTGCAATGAATTTTAATATCAACGGTTAATCATTTAAGGGATAAAATCGAGTGGAGAAAATTAACATTTATGTATAACCTGTCAGCTATTGACTGTACATAGGCAAAGAGGAAAAGTCAAACAGCCATGTTTAAATATTTATTTATTGCTTCTGTTTTAATCCAAGAGTTAAAAATAAAACTGTCGAAATCGAGGCGATAAATATATGTAATGTGTAATCACAAAGTTGTATTGATACAGGATCAAAAAGACTGAATCACGATAAAATCAATCATTATCATTATGAATCCAGAACGCAACGTGTCGATATTGTTTTACTTATTGTACACACGACTGCACGTCAGGTTATTATAATATGTCAGATATTTGCAATCTATTCTATATAGGTACTTAGATTTGTTATTTATCTTAAATACTTAAAGATTAAAAAACGACTGGAAAATTTTGACAGTTTTGTATAGACTGACGTGCAGTTTTGTGTACACACATACATACTATTTTATAACTGAATAAATTGTTATAAATAATTCGTATACAGGGAGCGAAAAAACGACCGACACAGTTGAAAGTTTCAAGTTAGGTTACATACAAACATTCATTTTATTTGACAAATATTTCAAAATAGAGGAGGTGTAAAAATGGAGTAAATATTTTAAATTTCTAAGTGTTGACAGCCCTATAACGCGCATGCGCAATATCAATCGTGTGCAGATTACAACGGACCGCGAAATACATTAATTTAATTTAATTATTTACCGATATCCTAATGATAGTCGATGCTGAAATTGTCCACTTCCTTTCTGAAGACTGAGCTAAGCACGCTTTTCTGCATGCCGGTGCATGCACGCGCAAAACACATCACATTTCCACAAAACTAAACACAATCTTCACTAAACTAAACTTAACACTCAAGACGAACACTGTAGTATCTTATTAACAAAAATTCAATTAAAAATGCACTAGAACAAAACAAAAATCGACAAACAAAGCGCTTCGTAGCGGTGCGTCGGCGCCGATGCGCAATAACACTCCAGCGCAAACGGTCGGCGGCGACTGAGCGGGAAACTTCCGACAGAACAATAAAGCCGGCTAGCTTTTATACAGAGTCGAAATCGGTTCACCTTTTTTTTAATTCGTCTTTTGATAGATATCACGCTTTTTTTAATGTTCTTTTTAAATGCAATTACTTAAATACTATTTTAATAACAAATTCCTCAATGTTTTTAAAACAAATTACATTTTTGTTAATGATGAATCGCTGGAAGATTCGTGCGTTTATTGAGTTTAATTAACGATACCGTTTTTAAAGGAATATTACCCCATTCAAACAAATTTTTTGGAGAACTGCTCTTTTAAAATAACGTAGATTAACGTTATACTGATCTTTCTACAATAATTTAGGAAATGTTACACTCGGTTTCTGAATTGAGAATTTAAAGTTAAACGTCTCAAACTAACATCTCTTAGTTTTCGTTTCCGATTTTAGTTTTTTGATAATCAGTTGATAGCAGTTTGATAAAACTAGGACTATTTGACTTGTGAAACGCATAAAACTTAGGTTATTGAGAATAAGCAGAAGAGATTTTCTACTTTTTTCAAATCAGAAACCGGCTGTTAGTCTGTTAATCGATTTAAGCATTTTGACTGCCTTGTTTAGTGATTGTCTGGTAGAATTTGCATGAAAGCGGTGTTACAAATCACAAACTAGTTTATTTCGTTTTTAGAAATGAAGAAGTCAATGACCGATTAAAAACTTGTTCCTTAGTGCGTCCCAAAAACAGCTGACTCAGGGTTGAAAACACTCATATTTTTCCAAAAACTTTGTAATTTAATATCTTCATATTAAAGACAAATAGTACTCTTCAGGAACTTCGGGAGTGTCGGTCGTTCTGTTCCACGGAGTATTTTTCATAATGAATAAAGTCCCATGCAACAGGAATCTAAGTCTCGGACTCCGAATGCTTTATTGCGATGTTAATTTTTTCAATATTTGATTGCGCTTAACAAACTGTAGACCGTAGATCTCGTGGGGTGGCAAGGTGACCAACACATCAATACTCTCACATCTCTTAACAAAGGATGGAGAAGGATCTCGAGCTCATTAACACCGTCATCACCAGTCATTTTGGTGACTCGACCGTGCCCCCAGGAACTGCTTTATTGTGTAACTCTAAGCAGAACTGAAATAAATTGTTCACAGAGCTCTGTGGGCACGTGGTCATATGAATAAAGGATTTAAATTTTTGACACATTGGAATTATTCACTTTTTACGGTGATTACTTTAAGCTGTCAGTTAAGTTAGCAAATAATACTTGCCATTTCAAATCCAAATATTTTTTTGGCTGATGACAAGTTTTCTTTCGTGTTTAAAAGTAAATTAGTTTACAAAACTCAATAAACAACTCATATTCTATTTGTACTTTTTCGTATTTGTATTGATATCTAAGTTTCTAACTTTTCAAATTTCAGTTTTAAATATGTTAGTTAAAAGGAACGGAAATGACTGTCTTTGGTCCATTTGTTTCCTGCAAAAATCAACTTTTGCTAGAGTCGCCATCTATTGGAGGTACTTTTTACTAAAAAAGCACTAGCTTTCGTTGTGTTTTTAAATACTTCCTCATTAAAAAAGCAGTTAAACAGCAAATTGTGTCGCACAAAAAAAAAACAAAATATCGTTCTTGATGCAATTTTGATATTGGATATTTGATATCGATACATCGGTACAAAATAATGAGGAAGTATTTAAAAAAAAAAGAAATTTGTTCCCAAAATTATACTGGATGTCGCTACGGTACTTACTTGGTTTCTCCATGACAATCATTCCGGTTTTCTTTCGTGTATAAAAGTATATTAATTTCCAAAACTCAATAAACAAATCATATTCTATTTGTTTTTTTTTCGTATTTGTATTGATATCCAAGTTTCGAACTTTGGAAATTTCAGTTTTTTAATATGTTGGGTGAACGAAAATGACTATCTATGGTCCATTAATTTTCTGCAAAAATTAACTTTTGGTAAGTCGCTTTTTAGTAAAATCACTTTTTCATCCTTAAAATACTTTCTCATTCGCCAAAAAAATAGAAAATAATGCTATTTAATTGCATGCCTAATGTCACTTTTATTCAGCTAACTCTCTCACTCGTTTTAATTGTGTGATGATTTTTAATAAGCATTTTTAAAAACGGCTTATTGCTTAAGCGCTTTTTTTTCAACTGACGTTTGGAAATCGTTATAAAAAGCGTGCTCCGTTGAGTTATCACCACATAGTATAAAACAAAGTCGCTTTCTATGTCCCTATATTTCTACGTATGCTTAAATCTTTAAAACTACGCAACGGATTTTGATGCGGTTTTTTTTATAAATAGGGTGATTCAAAAGGAAAGTTTTTATGTATAATACAAGACCACAATACTATTACCGTTTCTCGACATTTTATTTACATAATGTTAAAACTAATGCAGTTCAATAATATTTAGAATGTTTTATATAGACACCATCAGCTCATAACAAAACTTATTTACATTGTTTATTTAGGAATAAACAAAAGTCATTACTTAAGTAGCAATTTATTTACGCATACAAATTAAACTTACACAATTAATTAACATTCAACACAACGTACACTTACTTCAACAACGAAAAGCGTACTGCTTTTTTAAGTTCAGTTTAAATAGCGTTTGGATTAAACAACCAAAAAAGTTTTTGCAAAAAGTCTAGATGGATATCACTCGTTATATTATAATACAGTGTATTTATGTAAAGTGCTGCCCTCTAATAGAAAAATGCCGTAACTGAAAAATTGATTGAGGCTAGTAGTTGTTATATCTTGATAGATGGCGGGACGTACAATAAGCATACTTGTCTTATAAGTTAAAAAGCGCTTTTGCACTTATTTAGAATAGCATGCCTTATTAAGTGTTTTTCATTTAAAAGTCCATCTCTAATGGTGTGGGATTTGTTCTGTGGTGATATCCATTGTACATCGATGTAGTCTTTGCCTAGGTACCTATTCTGACCATCTGTGAAATAAACTCACCGACAAACTACGCAGTGTGTGTTGAATTGTCTTTTATTAAATGGAATAAATTATTTTTTTAGATTATAAATAAATTATATTTTTGATAAATATGGCTGAAATAACTTGGCCCTGGCAATATAACTTTCCACCCTTTTTTACGTAAGTAAAACTAGTCTTACTTTGATTAGAAAATTTCAGTAACTTCGAGGATATGCCTTTTAAAAATGAGTTTAAAAACTTTACAATATAGATATATAGGTGAAGGAAACGCTCACGTTGTCATAAATATAGAATCTACAAATTGTGTGTTACGTCTCAGCAAGCATTCCAATGAAACTCTAAATCTTGATAATATTCAATTGTCAATTGATTTCGTAAATAAGTTGATGAGTCCATTATTCAATTCGAATCTTACAAACCAGTATGAGGTCTTAGAAATACCAGAACATGAACTAACACAGATAATTCATACTATTTATGAAGCCAGACCAAGTAATAGGAAATTCCAATGTTCATTCAATAGGCAGGCTGTAAAAGCTCTCAACTTATTGATTCTTAATCCAGGTTATGATAGCTATTGTATTGAAATAAAACCAAAAGAAGGTTTCATGTCTACAAAATTTAAAAAATACTTAAAATGCTATTACTGCTTGAAACAATTTTTGAAGTTTAAAGATGGGGAAATAAATACTGTCAGTGAATACTGCCCATTAGATTTGTTTTCGGGAGATAAGAATAGAATGAAATGTGCACTATATAACCTTATAAATAACCCACAAAACAATTTTAAACTTTTTAAGAATAATGATATGATATACAGTGAAAATTCAAAAGTGAAAGAGCTGAATGGCATTTTAAATAGTATTGATGCTTTCAAGAGTTCAATAAACATATTTCTCGA